TACCAGTGAGATGGAACCCTCAAGCTGCCAAACCATAGACTGGATCAAGGCACAGCACTAGCACAGGAACCAACAATCACAGGTTTCTGGCATTCCAAGGAACTCTACACACAGCATTACTGTGCCCAAGGACTGGAACATACTTAAGGAACATTCTAGCATTTGGTTCATAAACTAAACCTGGGATTAGGAATTGAAAAGAATCATACCAGTCTCAAACCTTATCCAGCTTAAGGTGAAATTAACATTCTCGAAGTTCTAAAACAGACCCAGCTTATGGGTTTAAGTCACAACCAATAATTTCACAATCCAGGGGGTACTGTTATTGAAAACTATTATGGATGAATGACTGTATGCATCTGGCCATATATTGCAGCCCTCTATCTGGTGACTATATTCAATAAAAGTCACTGACATTTTTCATGAAGTCACCCTTGTCCACCTCGTATAAATTACAACCTTTCATGAATACAAATATTTTAAACAAAGAACACAATGTTTGTACTTCAGAATTCTGCCATGAATGCCCAACTAATAACATATAAAAACACTAGATGAGTCAAAATGTTGGTTTTCACTCAGTTTAAATTTAGCTTCAAGCGAACATGCGTTGCCATACTGATCCTTAAACAATGCTTTGGTTTTGAATGTATAACAGGAAACAAGATGCTTACCACAAACAAAATGTGAAATTTCTAGGCAGTACTGAAGAGGATCAGTAAAACAACAAAACTCCTGGTCTGTCCTGACCTGAGTGACTTACATATCTCATTGTCTAGAACAGAGTATAATTCTGATTGTAGACATAGTTCAATTATTGATCACACACCCACATATTTAGTTTGTGAGGACACACCTGTCTTAGGCTGATATTGCAATCCACAAGATTCAACTTGCTAAGCTGCTAAGCCTCAATAGTGTAGACTGTAGTGTTGACGTCCAGGTTAATTAGGCATACCTGGATTATACGGCCAGATGAGCTGCTACAGGTGGATCAGACAAGCTCATTAACAGGTGTGGTTCACTAATATGAAGGGAACTCAGACTATATCAGGATATCAACAGTAAGGGCCATGAACTGAAAAGTTGCTTAACTTTAAAGGCTCAAATAGAGTCATTCACATCGCAGTCAGGTCTTGTCACAGAAAACCCTCTAATAACTCTCAGGTAAAAAGAACCCCATACTCATATTCTGTACTTGATTTAATTGCAACTTTGGCATTCAAAATAGCATAATTAGTGCATCTGTTGATGTGAGGTGATGAGAAGTTGGTGGGGAGTTAATATTGCATTCACAATAGTGCAGTCATACAGCAACATGGAAGCATGGACATTTGTGGAAATATTGTGGTAGCGTTTATGTGATCGTAACTCCTATATCCTATGCTTTAACATAAGCTTACGACAGTTGTAACGCTAAGGAGAACGTAACACCAATTTAATAATTAGACTTATGAGTGAGTGAGTTGAGTTTTAGGAATATTCCAGCACACTGGCAAAGGACACCCGAAATGGGCTTCACACATTGTACCCATGAGGGAAATTGAACCTGAGACTTAAAAAAAAGACCAAGGAATGCTTTAACCACAAGGCTACCCCACCACTCCTGCCTCAGTTTAAGATACTGTACACCGACTCAAGGTGGAACAGTGCTTCTTTGTCCCCTTCACTACAATCACCAGGCAGGATAACTACAAGTACAAACTTTTAATGAGTTTTGGAATAATTCGGCCAGGAATCAAACCTTGCACTCTCCTGACAGACTCACTGTACACAATAACACTACAGGCAGTCCTCATTGTTTGTGTGATTGTAGCGGCCATAAAATTTCTGAGTCCCATGCTGGGATTTGAACCACAGACCTTCTGACCGAAGTCAGATGACTTGTCCACAAGCTGACAATGTAGGGATGTCATCTGTGGGATGACTCCACGCCCTGATACATGATGACAGTCAAGACTGAGTATTTCAGATGCGAGAACAACAACAGAAACTGTTTCTCCCTTGTTAGTGGTCCCTTGTTAACTGGGAGTCCATCACAAAGAGTGACCGAGAAGCCAATATGATTTTAAACATCTGAATTGTAGAAGATAGGAGGGTTTTCAAGCTTCCCCTTATCACCACACTGTACCATGTTCAGTCATGTTAAAGTGCTCTACACTTTAAATAAATCAAGTATAGTTTTACACCACTTTTAGCAATATTCCAGTAATAGCATGGTTGGGAACAACAGAAACATTGTACCAATGTAGGGAATCAAACTTGGGTCTTATGTGATATGAACAAACGTTTTACCCACTAGACGACCCTGCCACCCATTTAATCCTAGTGAGTGGCTGATCAATCGAAACAGTTTAGAATGGTGAGTTGATGACTGGCAAGTGTTCATTAAAGTGCTAAAGTTCATATAGCAAGATTGGATTATTCCATTTTACTATTAATTAAAAATAGGCATTTTGTATAGTGCTTAATTTCATTGTATTATGTTTATATTAAAAGGCATGTATCATGCATTGGAGTATCAACTGAAGTCACATTATATAATGTGTGAGTGAGTGAGTGAGTCTAATTATACGCCACACTCAGCAATAATCCAGCTATATGGTGGCGGTCTGTAAATAATCGAGTCTGGACCAGACAATCCAGTGATCAACAGCATGAACATCGATCTGCGCAATTGGGATCCGATGAAATGTGTCAACCAAGTCAGCGAGCCTGACCACCCAATCCCGTTAGTCGCCTCTTACGACAAGCATGGGTTACTGAAGATCAATATTCTAACCCGAACCTTCACGGGTAATATAATGTGTACCGACACAATGAGTGAGCATGGTTTTATGCCGCTTTTAACAATATTCCAGCAATATCATGGTGGGGACACAAGAAATGGGCTTCACGCATTGTACCCATGTGGGGAATCAAACCTGGGTCTTCGGCATGACAAGCGAACGCTTTAACCACTAGGCTACCCCACTGTCTCGTGTACAACAGAAGTGATAAAAGGTACAAGTCATGTATCTAATGATTACATTCCAACACACAAATGTGTGGGCACTAGACAAACATCAGCCAATAAAAGGCATACATGTATTATACAAGTCTACCAATAAGAGGTACACGTGTGATTTGAACCCTTCCTATATAATGCTTACAACATTCCACTGGGTCTGTTACCAAAGATGACAAAAGAACCAATGAAGCATGAAAGAGAAGATCATCGGCTGTCTGAACACACTGAGATATGCTGTCACAGATCACACCTTACCCTTAGAGTAGGCAGCAATTGGAATATTGCGATGTGCACCAGGAGATATCTTCGAGAGATCATAAGTCTCGTGTCACCAGCTTACCATGACTCTCCATGTGATAAATGGGCTCACATGCTTAACCAGATATTGATATACTAAATTATGGTTGGAGGCGGAGATCCGTATTGATTTATTAAATATCTTGGTTCTAGATTAAATATAATAAATCATGAGTAATGTTGTTATGATGAAGTCCCCCCTGGAGGGTTGACCGGGTTGTCCACCAGACACTGGTCTCCATGATACAGGATCATGTAGACGATGTCCATGTGTATCCAAAACAATTCTATTCTTCAAAACAAATAGTGTTTTAATTTCACCAAATGTGTAATATTTTTACTTGTGGCATGAAAGCTATTAGCATAACATGATTTGAAACATCTGGTACTTTACACTTAACTTCATGAGTGAGTGAGTATGGTTTTACGTCGCTTTTATCAATATATTCCAGCAATATCACGGCAGGGTACACAAGAAATGGGCTTCACACATTGTAACCATGTGAGGAATCGAAGCCGGGTCTTCAGCGTGTCGAGCAAACGCTTTAACCACTAGGCTACCCCAATGCCCGTTAACTTCATGAAGATAAGGGGTGTGTTACATACCCTTATGAAAAACAGGTATATGTTATATACCCCTATGAATAACAGGTTATGTTATGTGTATCCTTATGAATAATAGGTGTATGTCAGGTGGTACATGTGTGTCCTATTGAATAATTGGAGTATGTTACACGTGCCCTTATAAATAACATGTTTTTGTTATGTACCTTTATGAATATTAGGTATGTCATATGAACCCTTATGAATAAAACCTGTGAAGATCCAAAGTTGGAACATCCTCGATATCTCCAGGGTATACATTCGTATGGAGATTTATCGGAACGTATACCCTGGAGATATTGAGGATGAGGTTGGAATTGATCTTCAGTAACCCATGCTTGTCATAAGAGACGACTAAGGGATCGGGTGGTCAAGCTCGCTGTCTTGGTTGACACATACCATCGTGATCTGTTTGACTGGCATGTATAGAAGTTGGTGAGTAATAAGAAAGTAAGATACTTTATGGATAACAATGGTATAAGAATCTGCACCGAAACATCGCATCATATGTAATATAGAAGTTGTTATCCATAAAGTACATGAATCTTACTTTCTTACAAACCATCGTGTCCTAATTGCGTAGAATGATGCTCATGATGTTGATCACTGGATCGTCTGGTCCAGACTTGATTATGTACAGACCGCCGCCGCCATATACGCTCGTAGCTGGAATATTGCTGAGTGCAGCGTTAAACAACCAACCAACGATCAGCACACCCTAACAAGGTCTCTAGTTTGTTTCAATCAGATGGTCCCTGTTTACAAACACCCTCTTGCTTCAACTTCAATACCCTCTACACCCACACAGTACACAAACCCAGAATTCAACTGTGCAAAATCATCCATTGACATTAAGATGGCTTGACATACATTAACAAAACGATTATATATTTCTAATCTACACGTTTTACATACAATTTTGTTATTTATGTACTTGTTACGCACATCTCATTTCGCAAATACAACAACTGTTGTTAATTTATATCCTCACATCCACCACTTTCCTAATCAAATTGATAGATTCACTATTGAACACCCAAGTTAAATAGTCAAGTGAAAGTTAATATAAATATAGACATGTTCTACTTACCTGTCCTGTTTTAAATCCCTCCTCAGCAAAACATTTTGAATATCACCTCCCAACACAGCACTATCTCGCACTGATGGCATGTATTTCACTATAAAACACGTTCATTTCTGTCATGCAGTGTTCATATCTTCAGGTTGGCTGCAGTCTTACCACAACTGGTCTGTACTTATCAGTCTATTCACTTGTAGATTTCAAAATCAATCCCTCTGACATGGTCATTGTTGTGCTGAACCACGTCTCAAGCCTTCCGATAGCTGTGGGCAGTAAATGGGTTAATAATAGGTACTAAGCGTTACCGTGAAGGTGGCATGTTACTGTAAACATGAATATAGACAGGCTATTGTGAAGCTACTGACTGAAATGTACGCACGTTGATTTCTCCTCAGTGGTCCTTAGGGGGTGGAAATCTCTCATTGCTACCAAGCAGAAGGGTGGCTAATGTCTCTGTGGACTTTTGAAAACGAATGAGAGTGGATTTACTTCAGTGGGACATTATGTGAAGTAGGTAGTAAGTGCATATGCTTGGTTGATAAGAATGACAAACAGATTATTCACTTCCATAGTGCAAAACATTTGTCTCTGCCTTCATAACATGGTAAAATGAGGCTATGAAAAATATCAGTGTAAACTTGAATTTATTAAAACAATCTTAGGGCATGGTTTTATTTATGGTAACATATTTTACTAACACATAAAGTAGTCATGACAAATCAAATGATAAATCAAACTCATTGATTGATTTCTCAGCTTTGCAATGATGAATTATGGTCAAAATATGTTTCAGTAATGGTGACAATTTGTTTCTAATTTGATATAAAATATTTATCACAAATGTTCAAACATAAGATAAATAACTGAAAATTATTTTTATCACAATTGGCTATATCAATAAGGCCACAATAAATCAATTTATAAATTTTCATCCATAATTTTAGTGAATGCAATGCAGAAGGCATCTTACTAGTCTGTGGTACAGACCCTGAAGCAAATATATCCAAGAAAGCCCACGCAAGTCTAAAAAATGTGGCAAGTCTGAAAGAAAGTCTCAGGGCTCCTTTTCATTATATTATATATTTTTTTACTATGAACTTTTTCCAGTAGAATATGTTCATTTCAGAGACTAGTTGTTAGTCTAGCATCTTACTTGCATTAGCGTTTTGTTCAAGGCCCCAGTTTACCTAACCTGTTGATTTGTATGAAGCAAGAACATAATAGTTGCCATTTTAGTAACAAACTGAGCTTTTATTCCACTTGGATATTACTTAAAACATTCCTAAATCAACCTTGCTCTATCATTGATGAGATTATGAAATTGAAACTTAACAGACTTACAAACTTAAGTATATGAATAAATACACACAATTCAAAATCAACAAATGACATCTATTTAAGCCAGGTTTGTCCTTGATTTTACAACTAAATATTCTTACTTTTTTATTTCACATTAGATCAACAGTGAACTTAAAACCTGTGATATACCTGTCAAACACACCTATCAGGTGTACTCTTAGCAGGCTACAAATCAGGTGTATATGTTATACAGTCAACAAGGACATCAACATGCATGTGTGCCCTATAGTTACAGACAAACGTGATGTTGAATATGATTATATGCATATACAGATATGTGTGGCGTCTGTGTATGGATCTAAATAGGAAGTGACAACATCAAATTGACTTCTTGCGAGTATTGTTGAACAGCTTGCTCAGCAAGGCTGAATGTACAATGATAATGATGACTTACCTACTAGATAAGTAATGTATGTTATATTTGGGATTATTATTTCTCAGTAAAGTACTGCTTCTAGTACTTTTGTTAGGTTGAGTCCCATCCAAGGCTTCAAACCTGCACTCAGAGTCAGGTACCTAATCGCCAGCACATAAAGTCAGCCATCAAATCCATTCAGCATTGGTATAGTGTATTCGCATCTAAATAATCATCTATAAGTAGCAATGATGTGCTTAAAATAATACACAGACTAGCACAAGTCTCTAAGGTAAAAATTAATAGTTTAAATCATACTTTCTAAAACATGATAAATAACAGACTGTACTGTTCGCTTATCTAGACTTGCTTCTTCGAGGATAGAATTACTATACATCCATGGGGTCAGCATTCAGTACAGCCTTGGAGCAAGGCTAAGTAAAATTGAGTTGAATTAAGTTGAAATGCCAACAATCAACTACAGACATAACAAACTAACATTAGTGGTCCCTTTGACCTTGTCATAACCAAACTTTACTATACATGTCATAGCTACCTGGTAATTTGGCCTTGGAATTAAATGTTCATGTGTATCATGACGATGGTTATTCTGAATTGATTGTTATGACAAAGTCAACTTTCATCTTGGTATTAAGACCTTATTTCTCACTCATGATTGTCTGTAAGTATTGCATACTGGTAACTGGTTGAGTGTTGGTTACCTAGATGTCAAATGTTTGCAATTAGGGCTACAGTGAAAAGGTGGTGAAGCCATTTGTGTAGTAAGTATTCATTATGATTTTGCATCTTTATCATATTTGACTTTGTCCTTCTGTTTTCACAAACTATGTCTATTATCAACGTCAGAGTTTTTCAACTTCACTTTTGATGTCTCATAATGAGCCATTTCTGACAAAAACAGTACCAAACTTAAAAAGTCTAATGAACTTTGTGTGTGCGTGCGTACGTGTGTTGTGTGTGGTGTGTCACATAAAGTGAACATTCACAGGTAAGAAAGAGATAAAATGACAGATTGACCATACACAATTAATAGTATCTCCCTGGATTTGTCAGTGCAACCCTGATATGTTGTTACAGATGTTGTAATTATAATCATAATAATAGGATAAATAAAATTATAAAACCTTCTCTTGCAATGTATCGCAAATGCTCACGGTAAGGGCAGGTAACTCATCCCAACCTCAGTCAGTGAGTGCTGTGTGTGTGTGTGTGTGTGTGTGTGTGTGTGTGTGTGTGTGTGTGTGTTTTAGTTTTACGCCGCATTTGGCAATATTCCAGCAATATCACGGCGGGGGACACCAGAAATGGGCTTCACACATTGCACCCATGTGGGGAATCGAACCCGAGCCTTCGGTGTGACGAGCGAACGCTTTAACCACAAGGCTACCCCACCGCCCAAGTGAGTGCTGAAACCGTGGTCATGAGGGTACCCTTAGTTTACGTGGATTTGAACCAAATTCCTTCTTCAAAGATGGGATATAGTTTGTGCACTACAGGCTGTGGTAAATGGAAGATGTGTAATAGCTGTATTTAGAGCTAGGCTTGGTTTCATGATTTTGTTATGATGAAATATGTTTTTGAAAAATTGATATTTTGGGGAACATTTGTCATAACACTGATGAAACTTGTCTTTTTTTAAAGAAAAAAAGTATATACTTAAAAAATCATACCTTAAGGTATATTTTTATCATGTGACAAAGGCATTTTTAAAACAAATTCAAAATGAATGACTTTCACATGTGGTCTGCATTTTATCAATTTCATTTACCTCCCTTTGAAACCTGCCCCCCACCCCCACCCCCTCGCTGATGCTAATCTGTGTGATTTTTTAAAAGTTTTTGTGGCTTTTTTAGTAATGAGAAAGGGGCTTTCAGTCTAGAAAAATGAGACAATTTGCGAAGGAAACGAATTGGGAAAATCCCAATGCCAAAATATAAAGGAATCAACTTTGTCTATTAAGAGCCTATGGCCTGTCTTAGTAATTCTACCTTATCATTTAATTTTTCAAGAGTATATATTTAAACTTGTATATAAATATTTTATATTTGTTTTAAAATTAGTTATTTTATCAATGAGACAACAAGAGTCATCAGAAGATGACTATCCCACCAGTTTCACATAAATCCTAAGATCTTTCTTCTGCACCAGAAACAAACCCTAACCCAGGATTCAATTCTAAGTCTAGCCATGGAAATAAAATTTTGCAGTAATATGAAAATATCAAAAGGCACCCCTTCAATACTTGGTTGATGCATATGTAAAGTTTCAGAAACATACAATAAATGGTTTTAAAGTTCTTCTCTGAAAACGAACCCAGTCTTGGTTTGATCTAAGTCCAGCTTGCAGCCATAGAGACAGAAAAAATGTAAAAATGACAATTCTGAAAATATCAAAAGGCACCATTTCAGTACTTGGTTGATGCGTTCAGATAAAAATAATGAACGGTTTTCAAGTTCTGATTACAGACGGACGGACGGACGGACAGACAGACAAGGTGATGACTACATGTATATCCCACGGTATTACATACCGTTGGGATACTACACACAATTTTCACAGATTAAGTGATTATCAAAACCATTATATATTCCCTAATTCAAAGATTTATCATCAAGTAGGGCTAGACTAAACTAAACAGACCGAGGTATGATAATGATAACCACTGATGACTGCAACATATGACACAAGACAGGAAACTCTCTCACTCACTGCACATGCAACTATACAATAAAAACATATCTTCAACTTAGTTCCTTTAACACTTCCCCTTTGAATTTGTGGTTGACATACAGAGTGCAAGAACATTATCTCCCCACAGAGTAATGGGTGTTTTTGAACAATTTTATCCAATTCCACCTAATTTTTCTCCACTATTTTTCTATTTATAAAACCACTATGAACACCCTTGACCTTAAATTGTGTTCCCACTAATCAGCATTGATAAGAACACATTTGTGATGCAAAGATTTAATTTTTTCCACCAAATGTGAATATTTGATGAACAGTTGTCACTTTTCTGGTATGTTTGGTTTTTGGGGTCCTGACGGTGCCATTTTTGTATGTTTTTTCATATGAGAAATATGGACAATTAAAATTCATAAAAATGATGGGTTTCTTTCTTATGGTTAATATGATATTGTGATATTTTTCTTATAATAATATCACATGTTAAGAAAAATCCTTGAGCATAGCTACAATGTGTTGTTCTTCTGGAGATTAATTATTCCAACAATTGTACAGGTTTGTAGTTAATTAAACTGAAATCATATATTGAATTTTCCTTTGAAAAAATTACACGAATCGAGAAGACATACGAATTTCCAAACAAAATTACATCGTAACTGAATGAAACGTCGTCCTCATGAAAATAAACCTCGGTATCATTGTATATTGTACGAACGCTTCGGTCAATTGCACTTGAAAAGGAACTCATGGAAAAATACCCGCAAATTCGAGATTGTTTCAACCATTCTATGCAATATTTGTTTATGGGTAACGGTCCCCATCAAACTTTATAAACCAATTCCTTCTTAAGACATTGTCCTTAATCAAGTTGTACATCTTTGATTGCAACATTTAGGTGGAAAGAAAACCACATCAGAGATATTCTCCTACCTCAACGGAACAGGTTGTCACAAATCTGGGAATCTCCCGTCACTGTTTGTCAGACGACCTGATCTGCACGTGCGCTTATACCATCATTCATTGGCTGATTTTTAGCGTCGACGATTTTGCGTGGAATACCATGGACTTTCATAAAACCACTGTTTCTGGCATTGGATATTTTGATAAGATGGCATATGATCACCGTTTCTCTTAAATATATCACGAATAAGGCTCCAACGATGGTCACAATGATATGTGATTATATTTATTGAGCGTTTAAGATTTATATACTATTTTCCCTAGAGCTGTTTGTCAACGTGTAAAGAATTAATTGGCAAGAAATATTACACAACACATACTGACAGTTCTCCGAATGACTTTGCTGTTTGAGCAACTGTGAATAGTATCCATACGTTTCTTTCACTGGAATTTGTCAGTGTTCACATGGCTGTATTTTATCAGTTAATCCATGATCAATGCTTTGTTTTCTTGCCGATGCATAGAGAACAAGTCAAATGAACGGCTCATATACTGTCGGGTGGAAGCTTGGACTTTGTAATGCCACACACTCACGAGTGAGTTTAGTTTTACGCCGCTTTTAGCAATATTCCATCAATAACATGGGAATCGAACCCGGGTTGACGAGCGTACGCGTTAACCACTATGCTACCCCACCGTCTCCCACACTCTCATGAACCATTTTACTGATGGACAGTGTCTATATACAAACCACCAGGGTTTAATTTAAGTTTCCATTTCTTTCACACTAAGATTTCGTAATGTTTTTTTCCGTAACATTGTAGGCATAATATTTTCATGATATTTTACTTCTATGTAAAATGTTATTGAAATATATTTTTATACGAACGATGTTCATATTACAACATTTTCAAAACTATTTCAAAATATGTTATTAAATATATAATGACATGTGTGATATGTGAGAGCGAATGTTGTTCTAGTGACATAAGTGATATGTGAGAGCGAATGTTGTTCTACTGACACGTGTGATATGTGAGGGTGTCATGTTGATCTATTGACTTGTGCAATCTGCGAGTGGTCTGTGTTGATCTAGTGACATGTGTGATGTGTGAGAGCGAATGTTGTTCTAGTGACATAAGTGACATGTGAGAGCGAATGTTGTTCTACTGACACGTGTGATATGTGAGGGTGTCATGTTGATCTATTGACTTGTGCAATCTGCGAGTGGGCTGTGTTGATCTAGTGGCGTGTGATATGTGAGAGCGAATGTTGTTCTAGTGACATGTGTGGTATGTGAGGGTGTCTTGTTGATCTAGAGACGTGTGATGTGTGTCTTGTTGATCAAGTGACGTGTGATGTGTGTGAGTGTCATGTCGAGGCAATGCCGGGCCATCCGTTACCACTCGTGGATTTCCGTAACGTGTAAGAAGATGTGTGAGCGACGAATGACATGCAGAGAAGCTCCTTCCCAGTCAGTGACACCCTCGGTTCACAGATCAATATAGCGCTTGGAAAGGTACAGTATGTGTGTCTGTGAGGTGCAGTCCATGCACAACGGTTTACATAGCGTTTATCTCCCTTGTCTCCATGGTCACGACAGGTAAACGGATTTAGGCTGACAAGTAATACGAACACACTCATTTACTTGATTGGTTTATGAAACTGGGACAATGCACGGATGCATCAGGATTGATCTTCATATGACTACATACACTGAACACTAAAGGATAGATAGTGAATGGACAGATCAAATCGTTTGTCAACACCAAGGGCTCTGTGAGGTAAGCAATAACACATTACGTGTGTGACATGTATCGTACAAGTTATGTTATCTGCTCACAGCCATAGACAGATTTTGTTTCAAGTGTTTCGAGTACTGTGCAGATACAATGCATATCCTGGGCCCCGGACAATTAGACAGCGTGACCCGGGCCTACTGCACTCTTCGACTACCGGTCAGCGAAGACTCGTCCACTTGGTTCAAGATGTAAACACAATTTCGTGCATGCAAAAAAAGCATATACATGTACATATATTTGTGAATCTTCAGCGCGTCAGCATATTTTCTACAAAGGAATTTAACGGTGTGGCTGTAAATAAACAGAAACAAAGTGAAACTAAATTGCCTAGTTTTGTGTCCTGAATGATTTACTAACTTTGTACAAAATGTTTCAACATTTTCTGCTTTTTAAGAGATCGCTCAAGATCGCATGGCTCATATATTAAACTTCCTGGATAATCTCCAGTGGAGATTTATCGGAACGTAAACCCTGGAGATTATCGAGCATGATTTTAATTTTTTTAGGGCTGTCAGTTTGTCGTTTGAAATAGTTCACACAGGTCAACCGGTTGAAATCAATTAAGTATAATCATATGGAATTTGGTGTGATATGATTTGCGTGGATGGGTCTCTTCTTAAGTTCTTAACCAAGCGGTCGAAACAAAACTGGAGTCAAACTGAGGGCTTTACGTTCTTAGAACGGCGAGATTCTTGCTGTAAAAACTCCAAATGTCAAGTTTTTCAGTTAGTGTGATCCTCAGTCTCGTGCCTATGAATCGCTACCTTTCGTTTATTTGTGCAATTCTTCTTTCGAAGTGCACCTGAATTTGTTCTGCGTAGTTTTACACTCACCGCAGAGTGAGTTGGGTTTTACGCCGCTTTTTGCAATATTCCAGCAATATCACGGCTTCACACATTGTACCCATGTGGGGAATCGAACCCGGGCCTTCGGCGTGACGTCACCTCAGAACATAAATTACTGTTCTAATCGGTCAAGCTGCAATTGTTTGATTGCAGTTAACTGTGTGTTAACGACAACGACGTCAGAGAGGTCTGGATGTGTTAACGACAACGACGTCAGAGAGGTCTGGATGTGTTAACGACAACGACGTCAGAGAGGTCAGGATGTGTTAACGACAACGACGTCAGAAAGGTCAGGATGTGTTAACGACAACGACGTCAGAGAGGACTGGATGTGTTCACTTTACCTCCTCCAGTTCTTTGGAGAATAGATTTGATACCTCAATGCTAAATTCTACACTTTCAAGTGTATTTTTAGGAAGAGAGGGACAGATACCTCTAGTATGACATATGTGCTCGTTAAAAGTTAACTGCTTTGGGGACACAGAAAAGTAACTAAAAGTTATCTGTCTCCCTGTCTGTCTGCCTGACAAAAAATGTTTTTTAACAATTGATCATTATTTTGTTGTCACTTACCGCTAGTTGTTACGATGGAGGACCACTTGCTGGTAGAACAGCCAGGTAATCAACAAGCGTCTGTAGTGAACTTTCAATTTCATACGTGCAACTCGCACACCTGGCTGTTCTACAGAGGTGGTCCCTCCTTATAAAAGATAGCTGTAAGTAACACCAATCAGAGTTCTAATTCTAACAATACTTTCTAAAGATTGTAACAGTTTCTGTCTTCGAAAAGTATACAATGGACATTCAAGGAATTTTATGAAAAATATTCTCACATACATGGCCACATTGACATGATGTGTAATGGGAGGTCATCTGCATGTAATAATTATTACTAATTAGTCGTTGGGATTTACTTACTAATCTTAGATCGTCATGACACCTCAAGAGTTAAGAATACCTGATTTGGGATGTTTTATTTAATTTTGAACAGGATGCAAATATAAAATAATATTTTACCTCTTCCTTTTCAGACAACCACAGAGACAGTAGACTTGATGTGCTTTGTCACATGAAGTCAAAACATCCTCTTTCCTATGGGATGTGGAACGAGTTTTCCTGTGATTCCTCCAGATCGCAATTTAGCATCGACAGTCGAAGAACCCCACCTGCCTGAAGAAAACGATAGCGGGATTTTGGATGCGGACTCCGTTGATGGAGCCATCGAGTCCAACGGTAACACGGAGTTGGTAGAAGGTACATCTGACATTCAACTGATACAGACCCAAGAGGAACCAGGGTTACCTACTCCTAGCAAACCACTTGACCAGACTCCAACCCTATTGTCTACAATGAGTACGGATATACCTCCTTTCAATCAAGACTGTCTGAAGTTAGCTCAGCAGTTAGTCACCAAACATCCTCTGTTAAAATCCGGGTTTGAAGACATCAACTCCTTAGTAAATGCTCTCGAAGACGACCCCGCTTTGGCGTCAAACGGAGAACAGATTAGGGTGCTCGCACATAAGGCAATAGGACTTTCATACGTGAACAAGGATGAGTCCCACAGACAGATATTTGCAGAGTACCTGTCTTACACGCGTGCTGCAGATGCTATATACAAGGCGTATAGTTTGTATCTTAAAGCCAGGAATCTTGAGTTCTTGACGGATAAAGTAGCTCGAGCACAGCTGACGTCAGAGGGAAGCTACCAATTTGTCCGTGATATTAGGGGGTTGTTGTGGAACTACACAGACGCCAGTGTCCAGTTCGGCGAGAGGGTCTGCAACAGTGGCCTCCTGCGATATTTTGTGGGGGACCTGGAGGCTGTTCTGAAAGAAGCTGGTAGCCCTGACAATGTATGTACCAAGCCTTCAACATTGCATCATAAGAGATCGTTCATAATTTATGGCTGTGTGGTGTGTGTGGTGGTGTGGTGATGATGAATTTAAGGGGGGTCACCCATTTTGTTCTGGGGAGGTGGGGTGGGGACGGTCATCAATTTTGTACACATGTACTAGAGGTGGGTGGGGTGGGTTGTGTTTGTACATGACATCCAAGGGGGAAGGGGCACATGGTTCTCCATAAAATCATCATTCTCCAAACCATCTTTATCAAGGGTGTAGAGAAACAACTGTGGATGTAGTCAAACTGTTGTAATACTGTATGCAATCTTTGTATTATTTTTGTGTGACATACATTAACATGATGTTAAATGTTACTTTGATTTATAAGATATGAAGCGAGAGTTTAGGCGATACAGTAGCTACAAGACAAGCAAACAACGATAGGACGAAGTGTATAGCGATGGTTGACAGACTGTAATTGCGGAGTGTGGATTAACGGACTGTTTTGAATCTGTGCTATCTATCAAGTGTGGATCTTTGTTGACAAATTATGAATCAAAGCGTGTTGACCAGTTGCGAATGCGTTTTAATGATTTTTATTTGTACATCTGCATTTACGACCAACTGTAAATCTTTGTTGAAGATCCATCATTAATAGTTTTTGATGGTTTGTTGCTTCTGTGAAGATCCGGGTTAGAATTGGTCTTGAGCAACCCATGCTTGTCGTAAGAGGCGTCTTAAAGGATTCGGTGGTCAGGCTCGCTGACTTGGTTGATGCATGTGATCGTATCAGAGTTGCGTAGATCGATGCTCATGATGTTGATTACTGGATTGTCTGGTCCAGACCCGTATATTTACTGATCGCCGTCATATATAAATGTATATGGAATATTGCTGAGTGCGGCATTCAACAAACAAACAACAATTAATGGTTTGCTGAGTATTTCTAATGACGGCCTGTTGTTCATCCTTGATGTGCAGGTATCCGTACGTGACTCCTTCTTCCGGTCTGCTAGGGGTGTCCTCCACAACTGCACCAACAACCCCATCACCCGCCAACCTATCAGGGAACTGGGAACAGTATCTGTTGCCATGGGCTACCTCAAAGGTGAAGCCCCAGGTGAGTGGCGCCGACAGGAATGAAATACTGCAATATATACAATATATTTCTGTATATGCTATATCTGTCGACCTATAAATATAGTTAGTAGTGCCATATCCCAAACAAATATCTTTAATTACTCTTGACGTGAAGATCCAAAGAATGAATCGGTATGAAGAAAGCTGTGGTAGTCGAAAGAAGCAACTAACGGGATCGAGTGGTCAGAGTCGTTGACGTGGTTGATGCATGTGATCGTATTCCAATAGGGCTCGTAAGTAGGTCACGGTACTTCGCGAGACCTCAGTACTTCCGGTGACAAACAGCGTTTCAAACCTTTTCGATAGGCCTCATGGCTGTCAGGAACCGATAATACTTGCAGGAATAACAAATTTCCGATCAAGCCATCCCCAAATTAGGCAAGTATTACGACTGTCAACATCTGTCCGGTCTAGTAAACTCATATTTGGCCCTATTGCTTACACGTTAATCGAGGCTCATGATTATGATAATATAATTTGTCCTCAGACCATAGGAAGTTTCTGTATTTACAATTTGTCCCAAATAGCTTGTGACAAGTCATAAATCACACCTTCTAAGAAACAAAATGGCAGCATTCTGAGAATGATAAGTTCCAGATTTGCTGGATGGGGTAATATTCTACTAGGCATTTTGATGTTACTTCCTAAAATCTTGTACCATGGGACCCGCTTCACAAACCAAGCTATGTACATTTACAAAGTCTATCAGGGGACGTTTGGTTAACCTACAGAGGGGTACAATGTGTGAAGCCCATAACTGGTATCCTCCATTATGACACTGCAGAAATAACTAGACGTAAAACTAGACTCACTCACTTCAGAGTCTTTGAATTTTCCACCTTTCTTGATTCAACAGAAATTAAAATGATGATTCTTCTGCTGCTGGCGAGCATAATCGACGAGGATGACAATAAAGCTCTTCTAGCAGACAGAACCGTCTTTACCATAATGTTGAACATGATCTTGTACGCCTGGAGAGATCAACGTCATCGCTGCAACGGCTTCTCTGCGTCTGAGCTGATAGCCGGGCTCACGGGACTGGCGAAGAATGACGACAATAAGAAGATCCTCACAGAGAAGGGAGCGATCAATGTACTAATGACTGTGATGCAGGAAGGATCGGATGATGAGCGAGAGAAGGCAGTTCAGTGTGTTTGGGAGCTTGCATTCGACAAGGATAATCAACGGATATTTTTGGTAGGTCGTTAAAGTGAAGTCTTATGGGTTCATGATCATGTTATGTTATATGCATGTACAAAGAGTGAGAGAGTGAGTTGGGTTTTACGCCGTTTTTAGCAATGTTCCAGCAATATCACGGCGGGGGACACCAGAAATGGGCGTCACACATTGTACCCATGTGGGGAATCGAACCCGAGCCTTCGGCGTGACGAGCAAACGCTTTAACCACTAGCCTACCCCACCGCCCCGCATGTACAAAGAGCCTAGCATTTATTGAAAAATGGTTTTCAGTTAATGAATCACCACTTCTTATAGATATGGGGGCGGTGGGGTAGCCCAATGGTTAAAGTGTTTGCTCGTCACGCCGAAGACCCGGGTTCTATTCCCCACATGGGTACAATCTGTGAAGCCCATTTCTGGTGTCCCACGCCTTTCTATTGCTGGAATATTGATAAAAGCGACGTAAAACCATACTCACTCATTCATAAGTCTACGTTCGCCTTAGCGTTAAACAAAACTCACTCTTATAGATATGAGTGTGGGTTAATGAATGTGGTGGGGTAACCTATATAGCTAGGGGTTAACGTACTTGCTTGTCTCGCCGTAGACCCGGGTTTAATTCCTCACATGGCTACAATGCGTGAAGCCAATTCCTGATGTCCTCCGGGCGCGATATTGCTTTAACACCGCTCATAGCGATGTCCGTACAAATCAATCATTCAGTCAAATAATTATAATCAAATTATTTTACAATGATTAACGATTTCATGTTCTCAAATATGACTGAAATTGACATCCAGTACTGGTTTCATCGTTTATCCATCTTTTAAATAGATCACGATCTTTGGAGTGACGGATGTGCTTTGTTTTTAAAGAACTACAATAATCTTATTTGTCCCTATTTGTTCTGATGTTTAGTTATGTTTTCAGGAAAACGCTCAACTGATGGCAACACTGAGAAAACTGAACGGGTCACTAAACAAGAAACTGTCCAAAGTTTCCGGGGGCGCTCTGTGGGCTATCACCCAGGAGGAGAAGAGAGAGAACCAGAGTAAGAGAACGTCCATTTTTTACTGGACATTTATTTTTGAAAAACCTATTTCATTTTAACCAGTACAATGAGACAAAACATCGCTTGAAGTTGATCCTCCTCTCACAGAAACATGCCTGTTTGAAGGAGTTCCTCTTCCCAGAATATTTAATGTTGCGTCCCCACCAAGCATTTTAATGTAATAAAAGGCGATTAAATGTTAAATATTGACGACACTTTGACGTCTCCTCCCAAATTTAACTGTCACTGAACTGAAAGATTGTTATGACATGGCACTTTGTAAATTGTTTCTAAAGATTGTATCCCACGTTCATTTCGAGCAGAATTGAAGAAGAAAGATGTGGCGAAGAAGGACGAAAAGGTGCAGGATGCAGGTCATATTATGATCAGTTATCAGTGGGCGGATCAGAAAATGCTTATCAAGGTATGTTTCTTGTACTCCGACATGAACCTTGTTAGATATATTCTTCTTATGTCTATAGATCTATACGAGGCTTTGTCTATAATTCGCTGTGTGGACTGTGTCCATTTGACGTGCAGGAAAGCTTGATCATTGGCTCGTATCCTGGCTATATTTCCACAGCATTTTGGGTTTCAACAAAGTGGTAAAAATGCTACTTGGGGTTTTCCGTTCCGACACTGAAATACTGCTCAAAGCAGCGTTAAAGCAAACAAATCCGATCTTATTCTTCTAAATAATAAACTTGTCTTTAAGGTGAAGGAGTTTTTGAAAGGCCACAACTTTAAGGTGTGGATGGACATCGACAACATGGAGGGGTCCACGCTGCAGGCGATGGCGGAAGCCGTTCAGAACGCCTCTGTGGTGTTGGTGTGTATGTCGGAGAGGTACAAGCTGAGTCAGAACTGCAGGTCAGGTGGGTAGGACAACTACAGTAGTTTCAGTTGTATTACAGGCCGATATGAATGGCCCATTTAACACAATATTCACACCAGTAGTGGTTAAACAGTTAGAGGTGTGAAGGATCAGTGGCACTGCATTCAGCAGTTCTTGAATTGTCTCAGGACACTTGCGACTTGGTCGACACATCGTATCCAAAATGCATCTTCTTTCAGGGGCATTTTAGAAGTTTTAAAGATGAAGGAAAACCAAGTTGTATGGATTGTCAACTTCTTTATTGCAATGAATGCGACGTTTCGGTGTAGGTACTCACACCGTTGTCAAGCAGGTGCTTCAGCAAGTGTTGGACAACGGTGTAAGTACCTGCACCGAAATGTCGTATTCATTGCATATGACATAGGTTTCCGTCATCACTGGATTGTCTGTTCCCGACTTGATTATTTGCAGATAGCTGGAATAACAACAAATAAACAAACAAGCTCTTGCGAAGGTTTCATGCGTCGCACACTGTGCATGTCTTAGCCGTCCCAGTAACCAGTGTTCATGGGTTCGAATCCCAAATTGTTCCTGATTCAGTATATCGATTTTTTCAGAACTATACCTGGCAAGGTTACCGAGGAGGCAAACAACGTAAACAGGTTTTGTCACAATCAAGCTGACATACTGTAAAACTTAAATACTTACACAAACTTTAAATCCAGCTCACTCGTACCCAGTTTCGTACATACAGACCGGTTTGTGACAAATAACAATCTGGATGATAAGACGTCCATATTACAGTTGTAGACGACATGTCTGCCCAATATCTGACAGCTTTAGCAAGCACGTGATCATGGAACAAGTCACTTCCGGTTCAACCCACAAAGGAGAGTTAATTCTAAACTTATCCTCGAATGGACATTATTTTTCTAATCCTAAAGGGACCATATCTTTCGATCATATCTTTAAAGGGACAGTTACCTCCAATCTAATCCTTGAAGGGATAGTTACTTCCGGTGTAATTCTTCAAGAGACTGTTATTTTCCGATATAACCTGACTGGGTGATTAGGGACATTTTCAACTTATATTTCAATTTTTGAGCCCTGTTCCATGTCACCCTTAGTCTCAGATTAGCAGGAGACCCTGAAAGTAAAGTAAATCCTCCATCCTCACTCAGTCAGTTTTGAAAAACAAAACAAATATGGGCTCACAAAAACAACAGTTCTTTGACCTCCTAGCTTACTTTGCCTCCATGTACGGTGATACAGAACTATACCTAAGAGGATTTGCTGGAAACATTTTATCACATAGAACCTGACTCAAGCGATTTTACATTACAGAAGCTGAGTATGCCTTTGACCTCAGGAAGCCCATAATACCCCTTCTTCTACAGAGAGACTACAAGCCCGATGGCTTTCTGGGATTGATCAAAGGGGCAAAACTCTTCTTCGACTTCAGCGGAAAATACCCTTTCGAAAAGAAAGCTTCGGAGTTGGTGAAGGAACTTGGTGCTCGAGGCAAGGCAGGGTCGTCAGCCGATAGTATTGACGTGAGTGACAACATTTCTGTCCAGTCAGATTCGTACGTGAAACACCTATGTCCTTAAACGAGCTTTACTGGTGTGTTTTTCATCTGACAATAGCTTTTCAGCGGATTTATATCTCAAATGATACATAGCAACGGTAATGCCATCGTTTTCTCGAACATAAACAATATCTCGTGGGTATAAAGGCGAAGTGTGAAAAAGCAGCGATTTTGACGTACTGGGAAAACTGTAGTCATACCAACCTCGATTTAAGAATCCCTGGGACAAAGAATTAATCTTTGTTTAGGTAGAACCTTCGAACTGCACTCTGAAGGAGAAAAAGAAACGTCATCTTTGTTATTTACGAATGATATAATACCACATTTAAAAATATATTCAGTAACAACGGATACACCGTTTTCAGTATCTTTCAAGTTTTTTTAAAGAATATCACTCTAAAACAATGATTCTGTTACTACAGATATTGGTTAATCAGGGCGAATTCCCTTGATTGGTACCGTCAGGATTAACGAGATTTCCCTTTACTCAGCGTCTTTATGAATATCTCATTGTTACAGGTTTCTTCCAAATTGTTTCAGGGGGAGACAACTGCAGTTGTGAAGTCCCAACCGTCTGATGCTGGTCGGGGCGCGAGTGGTACAGCCAACTGGTCACAAAAAGATGTCCAAAACTGGCTTTGTAAACTGAACTTGGAAAAGTAAGTATCTGATAAACATTTGACAATGGGAACAAGTTTCATCGTAGTCGTCTTATCAATTGACGGAGCTCTATGCTTCAGATTAGTGAGATATTTGAATGTTAATTTTGATTCAAGAGTTGCGGCCCTTACCTGTGTGAGGACTTGCTGTTGTTGAATCACCTTATAGTGTTTTCAGTGGTCATATCAAACATTTGTCTCACACAGTGCTGTCCAAGACTGTTACACTTAGTGTTTTTTCAGTTTTACAACCACCATGAACGAGTTGAGGGACTTTGTCGCTGTTGGAGTGGAACAAAGTCACTGAGATGAAAGCATGATGTATGTTGAATTTGTCCAGGTTCAGAATATTTCTGCTCCCTTATTCAGTGATCGTTTTTCAGACATTCTTCGCTGAAAGGTCTCACCGGAAAGCAGTTGATGTTTCTTCATAAGATATCGTACAAGGTAAACAAGTGGATACTTCAAAGTGGCTGTATATATTCATAATATCACATCACGATTCTTCACGAATCAAATTCGGGATAATTAAATTTAGTATAAAGTTTTCCAATCCTCTCTTTATGTGTCTTGACTTTGTTAATCCAAACGAAAAAAGAATTGTTTAAGGGTTCATTTTTAGCGTTCTGGTTGATAATGGTTAAAAGGATATGGTCACTTACTTTTGAATATGAGCACTGACTAAAGCAGATATTCAGAATTTCACAGGGTTCAATTACTGCTCAGCGATAAAATTCTCTTTTGTTTACAGGCACCAGAATTCTTCTACAATTACATCAAAAATGACCTGAAGTTGAGCAGTCTGGAAGATCTGATGATCTTCAGTGAGGCTGTGGAGAATTTGTAAATGATTATAGTTTACTATAATCAACTGAATCAATGCTCGACCAGGGGTAACCCTTCGCCAGCCTGTCTCTATGTGATCTTCATTCGTATGGCGCAAACTTACATACTTCGAGCATCTGTGACTCAACCTGTTGATATAATGATGTACATGGAGTCTGAACACTCTAATCATATCAGGACACTGGATCAACTTTCAAGAGAGGAGTCACTTGTGCCATCTACCTACATGGGATATGAGCCCATCACTGGACCTTGTTTCACAAAGTAGTCGTAGCTTTACGAAGTCGTAATTCCTATTTCCTATGCTTTAACATGCGCTTTCTACAGTCGTGGCGCTAAGGGGAACGTAACACAAATATTATAACACTTACTTGCGAGAGCCAAAGAGCTAAGGTGATCGTACTTCAATACTAACATAGGGTTACGACAACCGCAGCGCTTAGATAATTGTAACTCCGATACTTTCACGTAGGCTGACAACATTAGCGCTAAGGTGATCGTAATTCTTATACTTAAAACAGACTTACGACAGTCGTTGCGCTTCGCTTTGTGTTACGGAGCACTGCAGCGGGCAGTAACTCGACATGTCGACATTACGATACTGCTTGTTACTTGTATATTTCTACATTGTAGAATGTGAGTATAGGACGAGCTACCAGCACTGGTGTAGGAGTAACTCGACATGTCGACAGGACAATTACTGTGTTGGTTTACTACTCCATCAGCGCAGACGCCTACTTCGATGTATTTCCTCGATAAAACAGGGTATTGATGGCGAACAGTCTCCACTACGTCACCTAAGAATGTGAAAACGTTATTGTATATTTATAATTGTTATGAATGACATCTACGCATACCCATAAAAATGTTTTTTCTTTCCCCTCTGTTTTCACTGAGAGAGAGAGAGAGGGGGAGGTCATAATGAAACATCAAAAGTGAAGTTGACAGACTCTTAAGTTGGTAATAGACATAGTTTGTGAACACATAGGAACAATTTTTTTTATTGTTTTGCCAGCTAGTCAAGGCATGTTGTGTTGAATGGCTGTTGTTAACACTTCATTATACTCAGCCTGAGTAGTAAATGAGGTTCTGTTAAGGGTTAGGCAAAGAGTTGATATAGAATACAAATTAACACGGATTGAACTGAATAAAAAACAATTCAGTTTGGTGGAGGGCAATGAAATGATATACTTTTAATGATAAACATATAATATTATTGAATAAAACAAATATAGTTTAGAAAAAGTTAGCACTCAATCGATTAGAATGGCGACATGTGTACGTGTTGTATACTGTGTAGGGTCGGCACCCTTTGTTCATGGGTCATGATGACATTCCATGAATTACCTCGTCTTTACCAACTAAGAATTTATTTCAATCTCTCGCACATACATCTACTAATAACTATACTCTAACATTATGACAACTCGGATATGTAAGACACCAAGAGACATGGTGGATGTGGTTATTCTTTGTGGTCACATAAATGCACTTATTTAATTCTGGGCGACAAAGTTGTGACAATGACATCGCAAGATAAAGCTGTCTGCTCAAGCCATATGAAATTAGCACAAAAATCATGTTTGGAGAAAATAGCGTATGAAATACACGGTAGCCAATTGTAGTCGGATAAATTGATTTTACAAGTTAAAATGCACAGCTCTCATAATTTCTCCGTTTCCAGCATAACTGAAACAAATAGGTTCATGAAAGTCAGACATTTGCTTTGTTTGTCGGAAATTCAATCCACCACACTGTTAAATGTGCCTGAATACTGGTACCGTTTTCAGCTGACATTTTAGCACACACGACAACAACAAAAATAATATATACATACAAATATTATTTAAAACGTTCGGCTTTATTTCATGAAACATTATCAATACATCAGACAAAGTATATAAAAATGGATAAAGCCTATTTTACAAGTAATTATTTAAGACCCATACCTTCATTGTGCCACTCTGGTCCTGTATTGAACTATTTTGCACATACATACTGATATGTTCATTCATTTAACATATCAGTTATAATAACCTTTGTAATATCTGTGCGAGTTACCGTCGAGTTATGACTATGTTTTGACTATTGGAGTATGACTTTGCGAGACAATACGGACAATTAATATAAGTCGCTCTTGAAGAGAAAGAATTAAGAATGATAAAACTGCGTCCGTCTTCCAATTTACAATTCTTTAAAAAAATTGAACCATATCTCTTACCAGGCGAAAGCGTAACTAATTTGACTTGAATGAATATATTATGCCATAAGTATATTTTATTGCAGTTTCAGATTCTCTTCCCCTTTTTTTTCATGCAAGTTTGCGTAAAGCCATGTAATCAAACCGCCAACGTGATAAGAAAATCATTGATATAATACCAGAAACCAACTATCACGGGCCACCAACCCCCGGGTGTAAGGTTTGAAGACCCGTGAATCCGGGTGGGAATGGGTCCTCAGCAAGACATGCTTGTTGTGAGAGGCGACTAACGGGATCGGGTGGTCAGACACAACCGTGATGTTTAGACACGATTATTATTATGTTTTACAGAAGGATTAAGATGAAAACGCAGCAGAGAGGGTTCGGGTTATCCTGGCACAGTCAGGCTGGTAAAGCTCATCATCAGATCACGGCCCTTGCCCCCTCTACACGCAGCCCAGACAGCGAATGGGACTTCTCCAAGGAAACGCTGCCTAGTCGAACCCACCAAGAACTGTCTGGAGAATATGTAGACACCCCAACACTGCAGCCTTCTGCATTACCCAGAGAGACACGATTATTACCATTATTACGGTTATTATTCTTCATATAGCTGTAATATTGCTGCATGCGGCGTTAAACTACAAACAAGTAAATACACTACGAACAGCTGGGTGTGAAATGGACATGGCGTATATACAGAGAACACCTCCCCCACCCCCAAAAACGAATAAAAACAACAACACCAAACAAGTATTGATCACAGAATTAACCGATAATACGTTAATGTAATGTTCGGGATCGCCATCCCTCGGTGAACGTTGATCATCGGTGTGTACCGCAGTTTGTCTATGAGTGAGTATGGATTTACGCCGCTTTTAGCAGTATTCCAGCAATATCACGGCGGGAGACACCAGGAATGGGCTTCACACATTGTACCCGTATGGGGAATGGAACCCGGGTCTTCAGCGTGACGAGCGAAAGCGTTAACTACTAGGTTACACCACAGCCCAGTTTGTCTATGAAAGACTGACTGACTGAGTTTGGTTTTACGCCGCTTTTAGCAATATTCCAGCAACATCACGGCGTGGGACACCAGAAATGGGCTTCACGCATTGTACCCATGTGGGGATTCGAACCCGGATCTTCGGCGTGACGAGCCAACGCTTTAACCACTTATAGGCTACCCCACCGCCCCTGTCTATGAAAGAAGTGATGCAGCGTTTGATAATGAAATTACTTCTCCCTTAAACAACAGGAAAGTTAACTGGGGGGAATCGAAGATATTTACCAGGCCTACCAAAGAAAACTGCCCCACTGTGCAGACAAACGCAGAAAAGCCCACATTAATCGTGGAAATAGCAACATTAACATATTACCTCGTTACTGAAACAGTAAAAACGGCAAAGAAAGACTATGAAACTGCAACATTTTTATATCAGCGAACTTTGACCTCTACTGCGCATGCGCGTTACAATCCGCGCTATTTCAAATTTCCGAGCAACCGTGAATCGCCTCGCGTAGAAAAGTATTGAATATGTCGAAATAATTACTGTCAATCATTTAATACGAAAGTAAAGTAAGCTAAACAAGTGTGCACACAAGCATGATGATGATAAATGCCAAATAACACAACAAAAATACCTAAAAAAAGGAAATGTAACTTTTGTCCAAGCTGGAAAATGTCAATATGCAGTCGACACGTTGCAAACGCTTTGTTTTTTTATCCAGTTTTAGATTTAAAGTTACCGTTTTTACTGTTTCAGTGGCGAGGTATTATGTTTATGTTGCTATTTCCACGATTAATGTGGGGAAGTTTTCCTTCTTAGGCCTGTTTACTCTTATTGATGGCATGATTTGGACGCAAGCAAATATGTTAAAAAAGAGAGTAAAAAGCGGCGTTAAACCCAACTCACTCACTCACTCACTCACTCACTCACGGCTCACCTTAAGTGAATCCCTTCAGCAAATGAGTAAGTGAGTATTATAGTGCGGCGTGACGTTAAAATCCATTACAAGTAATTGCCATCTCAGATACCGGGTCGGCAAAACACCACAACAAACAAACCCACGTCAGATTCACGTACAACACAAACCGGTATAAATCAATCTCTCCAGCCATCCGTATCGGCAAAATCCGATCATTACGGGACTACACGTTTATCGATTACCAGTGGCCTACATGCGCTGAAACAGAACGCACTTCACTGACTACCTATGCGTGCGGTTCGTCAATTCAATCCAAACTGTATTCAGACAGTGGGAACAGCCCACAATACCGAGACGAGCCGGCCTCATTCAGTCTCTAAACTCGGCCTATCCATTGTATACACGTTGTCAAGGTGCCTTTCTTCTTTAAATGTGAAACAAGAAATGATATCGTTGAACCTTAATGACATGCCGAGATTGGTCATATCCGAGGAATATGTGTTCAGGACGTTAAAGGATATTTCAGCTGACAATTGTTTGAGAATCAGCATGCACAGGTAAGCTCGTGAACGCTACTACCTGTATTGGTAAAAGTGTATGTATGTTATGCTTCAATGTGTACGTGTTTTCTTGATACTTGGTTATAGAACGGCTATTAATGTTTACCATATAATAGGTTGTTGTCGCGGCAGGATAAGCCAACTGATGGGATCGGTATCTGTTTGGGTCATTTAAAGATGCAAATATGAAAGGTCAAGAAAGGAGTCTCAGTGTTTAGAAACAAACATGGCGCCGGACATGTCAGTAAGCGATCGTGTCGGAATTAACCATCGGGAATCTTGAGAAGTGACTCGAATAATTGGTATAATTTTCACATCAACAGTCCTAGATAATGATTTCAGTGCCTACCTAGGACGTAGCTTGGTCATTTTACAGCTTCGAGGCATATTTAAATTGCGAAACAATTCGACGATTACATTGTCATTTGCCAAGCGGGATCATTTTCCATATCCATCCCGTCTATCTGCAACTTTCGGCCTTTCCCCGCATATAGAACTCTTGAATTAGGCTCGAATATATGGCGGATTTGTGCACTTTGGTTCATTATGTTGTCTCTTGTGCACCTCACTCTGCACGGTAGGAAAGGCATACTCCAAAGAAACGTCACATCTCGTAGAGTAGCTTCCCTTCAACAAAGGGCGGTTACTCTAGCGAGCAGATCAATGGAGTACCGCGAAAGACACGTGGAAACAATGCGTGTAGGCAATAGTTGTTTTGAATATACGTCGTTACATCACTGTCTAAGAACGGTTGGAACAATGCTGACTGTTGACACTGTCCGACTCAAACATCACCGATCTTTTGGCGTAATATATATTAATGTGCACATTCAAGGAAAACTTGCAATGCATAGGTAATGTTTGTGAGGTTTAAGAAGATTTTCACACAACAGACTGACATTATGTGATAAAGTGGTATTGACGCTTGTGTGTTTTGAGATGGTAAATATCTTGCATTTGGAAGCAACACTATGTTCTTTTCGTAACGCAGAAAATTCAACATTCCAAAACACTCTCGCATTAGAACCTCTCTATCTGGACAACAATCCCAAGTTGTCAGGTACAGATAACGTTGGGCATAAATAGATCTGAGAGTTTCATTATATTCAAGCAATTACTTTCTTTTGTTGTAGGCAATGATTTGCTATACTGGACTTCAATATACACTTTGAAGACAAAGTTCTTGTCGTTATGTAGCTTTGAAATTCTTTATTGTTTTTTTAAGAAAATTCTTTAACACGTTCCAGGACGAGGTATTGTAGCTATATGACGTCGGTCAGAAAATATTTTGTTCTGGACTAAACAATCCAGCATTTTATATATGGACTTGACAATCCACTGATTGATATATTAAGCCAAATGCCACCCCAGTTCGGGTATGATGACATACAACTAAGGAGTCACGCACTCAGCAAAGTGAGTGAGTATGGTGTTTCGCCGCTTTTAGCAAAATTCAAGCATACATCACTAGGCTACCTCACCATCCAGCAAAAACTCATGACCCTGTCGCCTCTTATCACAAGGCAATGTTTTTAGATTGCTGGAGATGTGTTCTGACATTCAAGCATGGCGTGCACTAAATAGGTTACCCCGTGCAAGTTAATACGTTTTAAGGCGGAAGGCAAACACACAGGTCCAGTGTACGGTGATCAAAAGGTACATGTTTAAGAACAGTTCACTTTACGATCCTGTTTCTATTCATACAAAACCATGAACATAGACAAAGCCGTCCTGTCTTGAATGAAACCATACCAATGTGTTGCTCGACAAACATGTACAGATGGATTTGGTTTCCTCGTAAGTAGGAAGCAAAACCTCTGTAAGTAGAAATCCAAAGGGTCTTTATTTGTTAATTAAAAATTACACACCATTTATCAAAGGTGAATGCTAGAATATATATTTTTATTATAATTAATAATATTTCTTTCGAAGGAAATAGAGTGGAGATGTTTGGTGATATTGATTTAGATAAACAAACTTGCCAAAGGGCTATGAGATGAGTATATACAGGAAGTTCCTTCGTTCGAGGTGTTCTTGAACTTAATATTTTCTTCGTGTCTCTTTCATTCTTTCCCATCTATATAGTTTACAAAATGCAGATTGACTGAAAGAGATGAAAAAGCAATCTTAAAGCGGAGAATTAAACGTTATAACTTAACTTAAATAGAACATGATGGTAAAGCATGGTAAGGTGTGCTAACAGGTGAACATAACACACACTAACACACACACACACACACACACACATGGGGAAAGAAATATCTCTTCTTAACACCAGATACTTACTCCAAATAGTTTAATATACTGGATACATGTATATGTACGAGTAATGTAATATTGCATTTACAGCAATTGTTTTAGGCTGTGGGTAAAATTGTAAAACTGGCTTACCATTGTGTTAGACCACTTAATGAGTTTGGGACTTGAGCATGTGCTTGCTGAGAGCACATGCCTTGAAATGCATGACCTCTGTGCAGGTGTGGACGGGTAACATTAGGCCAGTTAATGATAATGTTAGAACCTTAAACTAAATGGTAATACCGGTAATACAAATTGGGGACTTAATGTCAGTGAAAAATTATTCCATCTTTGGGAAAATGAGTGAATTGTGACCACGACATTTCTTTAATTGCCAGGTAACACTTCAAAATGGGCAGTTCAAGTAGCGCGTCAAGGCCACCACGCAGTGTTTCCCACAAAGACCCCAGAAGTCCCATCCGACATTCAAGACATGACGCGGGAACCATGGAAACAGCCGCTAGCGACGACAAGACACAGACGATGGATCTTCTACTTCCAGCATATAACGAAGATGACGTCAAAACGGCCCAGAACCTGCAGAAAGACCACCCAGAGTTGTTCTATGTGTTTGAAAAAATGCACGCACTTGTAGAGAAGCTAGAAGAGAATCAAAAGTCCCAATGGCAGTGGATTGAACTCGAGGAAAGTATTGAATCCAGCATGGAAAGTTCATATTTTGATCATTATGAAAAGAAGCGGATTTTGGGGAGGTACATGGCCTTGCTTCGAGCTGCAAATCCCTTTACCGAGGCATATGGTGATGCACTTGGTGAAGCCGGTCTCACAGCATTCACTGCCAGAACTGTTAAATCCCACGCAGCAGATGCGCCTCTTGGGTTCCTCGTCACGCTGAGATCAGTGTTGCTGAACTATACTGATTCCAGTTTATACTTCTGTGAAAAACTTGCTGATAGTGGTATCTTCAAATATTTTGTTGACGATCTAAAGCAATCCCGTGAACATGTGGCGGACTTCGATGATGTGAGTATATATTCTCTGTTGTATGTTCTCAGCTTTCAATATTCTAAAACATCTAGTATATTTCACCTTGATCACATGAACTTTACAGATTTACGTTTAACATATTGTTGTAGTGAAGTAACATTGAGATCCTATCCAGCAAGACACCAGCAAAACCACATGATAAACACCAGTTTAAATACTATCAACTAAAACCGGACTGAACTTGTGTTTTTGTGGACTAAGGGACCGTTCATAATTTATGGCAAGTGTGTGTGTGTGTGTGTGTGTGTGTGTGTGTGTGTGTGTGTGCGCGCGCGCGTGTGTGTGTGTGTGTGTGTGTGTGTGTGTGTTGTTTGTTATGATGATTTTAAGGGGGGGTCACCCATTTTGTTCTGGGGAGCTGGGGGGTCATCAATTTTGTACACACGTACTGGGTGTGTGTGTGTCTCCATAAAAATCATCATCACCCCCCCTAGCCATAAACCATGAACGGTCCCTAATTCAAACGTCAATTATTCAAGAGGCAATGAGATTTCCGGTCTTTACATCTCTTGAAATGGGGTTGAGTATTACCGTAACACTTCTCACACTGGTAAAGCTGATTCAGCCGTTGTCTAACAACTTTCACATCTCTCTGTAAGGGGGCCGACGATTGTTTTGTCGCTTCCATTGGGGTGCTGTACAACTCTGCCCGAAATCCTGCCATCAGACAGACTTTAAGGAACCTGGACACCGTGTCTGTTCTCTTGCCATTCCTTAAATCCAAATCCGAAAGTAGGTATTGGTGCTTTTTGTTTCTCAGTTATCCTCCTGTAAATATGAACTCATTATCACACATTTTTAAAGATGATGTCATCCGTTGGTTATGACTTCACTAAGATTTAATTAACGTCTTCCTAACAATTTCTCCAGTGAAAGCAGAAAATAAATACTTCGGATAATATAAAGAATAACAATAACATACGACCTATGCAGAATCACAGTTACTTTAATGAACATTATGAATTTTCGTTGACATCTCTCTCCAAGGATCGTTGTTTACAACATCATTTCACTCGGGAGAGATAATCCGTACCTGTCATTCTCTGGGTATATTGTATGGCAATTACGTCCATGTTTACAACGTCTCACTTCTTGTGTTGCAGAGGTGCGGATGTTGGTTCTTCTCAGTCTCGCTAATATGTTGGATGAAGACCAAAACGACCTTCTTTTGGCTGATGATTCTGTGTTTGACTTCATTCTGTTTGTATTGGATCGAGCCTGGAAATATTCAAATCATCGATTCGATGGCTTCAGTGTTGAAGAATTGATAGATGGAATGACAGGGTTGGCCAAGAATGACTCCAACAAGACTCTGCTGGTGAAGAAGGGGGTGTTGCCAAAGATGATGCTTGTGATAAAGAACAGCAGCAGTGGTGAGGAGATCGAGAAGGCTGTCAAGTGTGTTTGGGAACTGTCTTTTAACGAAGAGAACAGGAAAGATTTCAATGTATGTACCATTCGGGTGTTGGGTGTTGAACGGGAAACTTGATTCATAAACAATTTTTTGAGGTCGTCAGAACCTTTGGATTGGAGAGTAAGGGTTTTGCAAACGTACCTCTATTTTCAGAACAGTTCAGCCTTTATTAAATTTATCCTTTGTTTAGATATATAATTGTTTTAAGAACTAACATATGCCTACGTTGTGTTGACTGCCAAGACACAGGAGTCAGTACATGAATCGCCAGGCAGTAGGAGAGTAGGAGCAGGAGATGGGGCCCGGGTTCCCCGCCAATGTATTCCTTGAAGATACAAACGAAGTCATGTCATACTCAGGCATGCCCTGTTACTAGGATTATTGGGAATCCAAATCCAATTGTGTCCTCTGCATTTAAAGGTTACGAATGCATTTGTACGATGTGATCATTGACTAAAGTCTAGAACTCGTTGTTCTTACTCGTATATGATTTACAAACGAGCATGAAAAGTCATGAGATAGCCATTGAATATAAATTAATCAAAAGATTGTTTGAACTTCATGATCCTTTTACAGGAAAACAAGGAGCTAATGGATTTACTAAGGAAGTGTAAGAATTCCTCGGATAAGGCCGTCGCCAAAGCAGCAGAAGGAGCTCTTTGGGTTCTGCAGATGAAGACAAAAGACGGTATGATGCACTATAATAGTACCCCCTTCCCCTTTAGTGTGGTAAATGTACCGCGCACCTACCGCTGTGGTAAACCGAAGCTTCCGTATGAAATGTATGGGGCAAACAGTGCCCACCCGTCGATAAAATTACAAATCACTCACAGTCACGGTTTATATCTATCGTTATCTATGTCACCATATCGCAGTATCAGTTTGTGGATAGTCTTGTTTGCTCTGTGAAGAATTTACTATGCATCACTGCCATTTGCATATCACGTGATCGGGCTTTTCTCCTCGTGGGGATCCTCCCATTACGCAGACAGGCAGTTCGCAGACACCTTAAAACAACAACATTTACAGATAAGTTGCTACCTGTTACCTACACATTATAATGGGATAGTCCAAATAAAAACAGAAAAAAACTGGAGCTATATTATTTACTTTGAAAGATGACGGAAAATACATGTCATTAATTTGAATTCTGATTGCTGCAACATAAAAACTGTTGATTTTCGTAAACATTTGGGTTTAACGTTCTCATCATTATTATATTGAAAACATTGTCAAAAACCCATCTAAAATGATTGGAGCATTTCAGAAATTAAAGTTCTTACTAAATAGAACAACACCAGGTTTTCTTCAGGATTTACTGCCACCTGTAGTAGGCAACCGGACAAGCTATGAGTTAAGAAGTTCCAATAATTTCTAGCTAACCATGTACAAGACTGAGGCACTCAACATCATCTTTTTTTCCACCAGCAGTTAAAATGTGGAATAATATTCCCTTAGCTATCAGAAATTGCGACTCTGATGCATCACTTAAATCTTGTGTCCACATGAAAGAAAAATGTACACCTAAATATTATTCATATGGAATAAGAAGGTTAAATGTTTTGCACACAAGATTAAGATATAAGATATATGCACTTAATTATGATTTATTTAGAATAAATATAACAATATGACGCATCATGTCAACGTGGCCATGGATGTGAGAATGTTTAACATTACTTCCTTGAATGTCCATTGTATACTATTCAAAGACATAAACTGTTACAATCTTTAGAAAGTGTTGTTAAAATTAGAACACTGATTGGTATTAATCTTATCTTTCATGGCAATGCAGGTCTCTCAGTTACTGACAATCAGAATGTTTTCAAATATGTACATATCTATATCTCTCAAACAAATCGTTTTCTCGGTTAACTTTTGTTGTACATATTCTGTTATTGGGAGAGGGCTTTTCTAAGTAGGAAAACTTGTGCCCAATCCTTTTCTCGAATGAATAACATATGTTTCAATCAATAAACACAATCAAACCTCTCAGTGACAAACCTGTTTTTATATTCGATAATAATTGATAGTAAAAACAATTTGGAGAAGAGAAGACAGATTATCATTTGATCACAACAAAAGTCTATTTACACACAATCAAACTTCTCAGTAACGAACCTGTATGGGCTCACCCTACTCTACTCACCATGGGAGGACTGTTCCATTATACCCGTAGGTGTTACCCTAATTAACCTACTAGTTCAGTGTCTTTCAATCGACTGTCTGTCAAATGGGTGTATGTCAATTGGGAGATAACCTCCTCGTGCAAACAAGCCACCATTACGGAAATTTGAGCAGGTCTTGCTAATGGCCAAGCGTGGTTTACTGATTACAGATATTTCGCGACACTCGCATGCCAATGACCGTATTGTTTGCTTTCGAAAGAGTACGATATGGAAGCACACAGCCTGTGTAAACAAAGAACACATCTAACATTTGAAACAATATGTTCACGTTTCATATGCCGTCAATGAAATTAACCTATTCATGATAAATGTTAGTCTAAATGTGGCGACCTTTCAGAAACACGATTGATGACAATCATAGTTTATTGAATGGATTGAGAAGACCTGACGAATCGTCACATTTCCTTGACTGGTCCCAGTGGCACTAGCTTGACTGCCAGGATCTCTGGGTGGAAGAGCGGAACATTATTGTGAACAGTACTGTAATTCAGTCGATCAGATATGTGGATTGTAAGGATTAGTAGATTCTTCAAACAATGTAATATTTCTTAGATCGTGGTTGTTTTATTTACCCCAGAAAACAAGAAAAATCTCAAAGAAGACAAGAAAGACATATCCGGTCACGTGATGATTAGTTACAACTGGGGCGACCAGAAGACGCTTCTCCAGGCAAGTAGGGGTAATTCTTGCGGATCGTCATGTTCATGACGTAGAACCGTCTTAACATACATAGGCGGATCCATAGGGAGGGTGCAGGGGTGCGCAACCCCACCCCACCTTTTGTACAGAAAGTTTATTAAAAGACCATTGAAACTCGAGAGAAAATGGGTAAAAATGAACTGTGCACCCCCCATCCCCTTTCTGAACTGCCCTATCCCCCTTTTTTCCAAAAACTGTATCCGCCCCTGACATGGTAAACTACCGTATTTCTCCATTTATTTTATCAACGGACTTTCAGACCCGGCGCTTATTGCGCTTACTGGGTGTAATTAATATGACTAAAGGGACCATTCCATAATAAATCTACTTCTTTATCAAGGGAGAATACATTTATGAAAAAACCGTACCCGCCGCTTATTAGAGTCTCGGCGCTTTTTAGAGGAAATAGGGTACATATAACATCAACAGGTGCCCAATATACAATGTACAGCTCATCTAACGGATAGGATTCGATTGGGTGTAAAACGCAAATTAGGTGAAAATGTGCACTTGTGAATGGATCACTGAACCTTAACGAGGACATCATGTATTACCGACAACAGTAACCAACTAACTGGTCAAGTTCATTTTAGCAGGGGGTAGAACAGGTCAGATCAGTGTATTACCATTAACTTCACTTTCTTATCACTGGACCGTATCATGTTGTTTTAACCTGTAGGCAGTTTGGAACTGTAGGCAGTATGGGAATACACCGGCGTCTTGTCCTATCTGTAGCACCCGTCTCGGTTAGGGATACAACAGCGCTTGGAATACACGCTTGATGGTCACAATTGCCATTTATGGTTCGTGTGTGTGTGTGTGTGTGTGCGTGCGTGCCGAACTTTGATGTGTGTGTGTGTAGTGCTATTTCAAATGAAGAATTCTAAAAGTTAAGCGTTCATCTTATCATATGTCGAAATGACATTGTTTTCAGCGAATATATTGATAGTTCTAATACGAAAAAATATCGTTGTCAACTTGTACATGCTTTCTACCAGGTGAAGGAACTACTGAAGGCTGACGGTTATAATATTTGGATGGACGTCGACAACATGGGAGGGTCCACACTGCAGGCGATGGCGGAGGCCGTTCAGAACGCTTCTGTGGTGTTGGTGTGTATGTCGGAGAGATACAAAGAGAGCCAAAACTGTAGATCAGGTAAACTGTCACAGAACGGATGTATAAATTTGTTTGTTTGTTGTCGCTAAGCAATATCCCAGCTATATGGCGGCGGTCTGTAATTAACCGAGACTGGACCAGACAATCCAGTGATCAGCATCATGAGCATCAATCCACGCAAATGGGACATGTCAGCGAGCCTGACCACCCGATCTCATTAGTTGCCTCTTACGACAAGCATGGATTGCTGGGGTGAGGTGAGGTGAAATTGGGGTTAACGTCGTGCTTGAGAATATTTCGCTCATATGACGACTTGCATGCGTGTGTATGTGTATGTGTGTGCGGCTGCTTGTACTAGCCCAGACTTAAGCTGGTTTTATAGTGCTAGCCCACTGAGATACCATGCCGCAGTGAAGCATGAATACCCCACTCAGACACATTATACTGACTCCGAGCCGACCAGTCCTTGTTGTACCCATTAATGCCGATCGCCAGGCAGGGACCAACAAGTACCATATTTTAACGTCTTTTGGTATGACGCGGCCGGGGATCGAACCCGCGACCTTCCGCTCTCCGGGCGGACGCTCTAACCACTACACCACAGAGGCGGTCGGTGTGGATTGCTGAAGACCAATAGTAACTCGGATCTTCTCTACAGTGTGCGAAATAGTTTTCGAAGTTTGCTAGTCAGTCGGGCTAGCGATGCCTGAAAGTTACTAGCAGACAAGTGGACACGGGTTTCATAATTTAGCTGCTAATATGATGAACATTTTTATCAGGCCATAATCTTGTATGTTTTTTAAAGTGTATTATATCTTAAAAAGTCGGAGAGAGTGATATATTTACAAAATGACCCTAATGAAAATTCACTAGCCAGTCGGACTAGTGACTGTGGAGATTTACAGGCCCGACTGGATTTTTACTAGCCACGAGCTAGCGGGTCAGTGGCTATTTCGCACACTGCTTCACGGGTTTATAACTTTGTACTCGTTGATATATCGACAACTGTATAGTATGGGAAAATATACATAGGAGCAAATCAACCCTTCGAAGAGTTGTTATAGAGGTATAGAATGATTGAGTGGTTAAGTTTTCATTGTTCTTACGTTATTGCCTAAATAAACAAGTTTAATCATAAATAAAATGAAAGTGGATGCTTGATTTAAGGTACAGAAGGATGCTTTCTACATGTAGGTTGCATTCAGATGTCCCTTGACAATTCTAACATTATTACCTTCAGACGTTGTAATCGACATTTGCCCATGTAATTTACTCTGGCATATACCTACACAATAACCGTTAATCGCGTTAATCCCTGTAGCCAGGCACACATTGACAGCGATCAGATAATCTGTTATTCCGAGGTTATTCTTCATATGACTCATAATATTATATATTTTTGAGAACTAAATGCAGAACCAATGTGTGAAAGGTCAGCCGTACAGAGATCCATCACTGACGTTAGCCTATTTGTCCTATGTTAGCGGTGCTTGATATATACTGAGAGAGAAAAATAAAGGATGACAGGGAAATTTACGCGTTCTTTAATATTTTTCCAGTTTTCATCACCAGCTTTGAATAGCGCTGTGGTGATGAAAACTGGAAAATAATAAAAGGAACGCTTGAATTTTCCTGTGATCCTTTATTTGTTTCTCTGGTGTCCTCCAATTACGCAGACAGCCAGTTCGCAGACACCTTAAAACAACAACATTTATGGTTCAGTGAACAGATTATCTCCTACCTGTTACCTACATATTATAATGGAATAGTCTGCAAATCAGAATGTTTTCAAATATGTACCTATCTATATCTCTCCAACAAAACGTTTTCTCAGTTAACTTCAGTTGTACATATGCTATTATTGGGAGGGGTCTTATCTATCAATAAACACAATCAAACCTCTCAGTGACAAACCTGTCTTTATATTCGATAGTAATTGATAGTAAAATCAATTTTCAGAAGAGAAATCATTTATCATTTAATCACACCAAAGTTCTATTTACCCACAATCAAACTTCTCAGCAACGAACCTGTTTCAGGCTGACCCTGCTCTACTCACTAGACAGTGGACTGTTCCATTATACCCGTAGGTGTTACCCTAATTAACCTTCTAGTTCAGTGTCTGTCAATTGGGTGTCTGTCAATTGGCAGATAACCGTTTCTCTCAGTATATTTCCACCTGTATATGTAACTACATGCTCTTGTAACCAGGCTTGGTGGAGTAACCTCGTGGTTAAAGCGTTGGCTCGTCACGCCGAGGGCCCGGGTTCGATTCCCCACATGGGTGCAGTATGTGAAGCTCATTTCTGGTGTCCCCCGCCGTGATATTTCTGGAATATTGCTAAAAGCGGCGTAAAACCCAACTCACTCACACAGTAACACCAAAAATGGGTACAGGGTGTGAAGCCAATTTCTGGTGTCCCCCGCCGGGATCTTGCTGTTATATTGCGGCGTAAAACTAAACTCACTCATTCTGACATTATCAGAAATATTTCCCTTTCTTCTCCAGAGGCAGAGTACGCATTCTCGCTACAGAAGACCATCATCCCCTTATTGATGCAGAGGGAGTATAAGCCAGATGGTTGGTTAGGGATGATAAAAGGAACCAAGCTTTTCTTCGACTTCAGCGGAAAATACGACTTTAATAAGAAGTTGATAGAACTCAGCAGAGAGTTAGGAGAGAGAGGCAAGGGTCTTGAAGCTGATGCTGTTGATGTAAGTTTCTTGGTTGTTTATGAGAACATAGCTTATTTTGTTTCTGTTAAACAGTGAATCAGTTGTCTAATGAGTAACTGTCGGAGTAACAGGAAGACTACGCTGTATATTCTCATTCGATATACATGTGCATGATACAAAGTTCCTGTATAGAATAGAATTAATATTATTGGTCATAACGGTAGTTATTTAAATAGCAAACAACGCTTTGCATGATCCCAGCTAGTGATTATTATGTTTTCGTTCCCCTAAAGTTGTTCTTTAGATCGTTTAGTACGCAAATGTACTCAACAAAAAGTTAGGAATCATGAATATTTTTATGAAAACGTATGTTCAGTTTTAACAAAACATACTAAAAAAATTATGTACTATGCTTTCTGTTTTCTGTATTACATATACAGTTAATTTGATCCCGTTCGTTAGAAATCTCTTTATTAGGACGATATAGTTTTTATGAACATAATTTCATTATTACAAACACGATTACAAGAAAATATCATATCACGTAATTTAGCCTGTTTTGATTACATTCAGCTAAAGTATAGCGTTATTAGAATTGACAACACTGTCTGCCACTGAATTTTTATGGTGCATATCTGTTTCAGTAAACCGTCCGTATTAGGACTGAAGGTTTTGTTGTACTTGTTCAGGAGGGGCGGTGGGGTAGCCTAGTGGTTAAAGCGTTGGGTCGTCACGCCATAGACCCGGGTTCGAATCCCTTCATGGGTACAATGTGTGAAGCCCATTTCTGGTGTCCCCCGCCGTGATGTTGCTGGAATATTGCTAAAAGCGGCGTAAAACCAAACTCAGTCAGTCAGTCTTGTTCAGGACCAGGTATTATTTCATAGAGATGTGACGACAGGCAGGAATCCATGAAACAAATAAACGATATTTCTTAATAACGGTAACCATTGTACGTTGTTCCGTCAGGGTGAGGTGAGGACGACCGCTCCCGTCCTGAAAGCCGCAGCTGTGGACGCAGCAAGAGGCCCAACAACTGCCGCTTGGTCCAACAAAGACGTGCACAACTGGCTAGTGAAGTCCGGCCTCAACAGGTACATCGACTGTCATGTCTACATTAGGGCTTAATGCGATTGGTTACACAAACCTATGCTTGTGTTTTCGAATTTAGCTTTACTCTTATTATATTTCTATGTTTGCCAACATCATTCCGTTTGCTCGTTGGTTCACTAAACTGGTAAACTTCTAAGGCCCTTTCCACTTCCTCATTGAGCTAATAGGGTTGGTGGGGTAAATTAGTGGTGAAAGTGTATGCTCGTCACGCTGAAGACCCGGGTTCGATTCCCCAGATAGGTACAATGAGTGAAGCCCGTGATATTGCTGGAATATTGATAAAAGCGGCGTAAAACCATAATCTCTCATTGAACTGGCATGCTGTGACCTGACTGAAATACTCTCCTAAGTGTATGTCCAAATATATTCAAATGGCATTAAAATATCTCCGTTAGTTTTGTTGTTTGTATTCATAAACGGTTCAATAACGCGGGGAACTGTCTCACATGGCAAACATTATTCCACTCCCTATTCTGGAGTTGTCGACCAGAGTAGACAATTGACGAGTCACCCGTCTCTGCGTTCTACTGGGTCAACAGGTTTATATATGTATACAGTTTGTACCGAGTAATGGTTCTGGAGTAGTTTGCCCGAAGTGTTGTGTTGTGTTGTGTTGTGTTGTGTTGTGAATAGACTTTGTTGGGCGGATTCTTGTTGGCGTATGGTTTCATCTGTGGACCTTAACTCATTAAGCCCGAGAGACGCTTCACTACTCAACACCTGGAACCCTTCGCTAATTGCCCTGCTCGCTGTTGCGAGGCTAATTAGTGCTATTCACACCTGATTTCCCTGGTAGGTTTCGGGGATGACAGGAAACTGTCTAGTCGTACAATCAAGCTCTGATTGTTTAATTGTGTCGTAAACATGTAAGTTAAAAGAAAGCATGGAAAGAAAGCTTGGATAGAGATTGATTATTGGCTATATCGTTGACCAGTCGATATGCTGGGTTTCGGCGTTATCAACTCAAGCTATTATGTAACAGTTTGTGTATTATAAACATACATACTCGTAACGATCCATGAAATATACACATAAGACAAATAGGAGTAGATAGATCTCAGAGATCGAAAACACATTTGAGTGTTTTTCGATAAGTAAAACAAAGAGATTGAAATCCAACCATTGAGTAGAGATAGTATTTATTTTCATATACATTTTACGCACACAACTAGTACATAAACATAATGGTTTGCTGTACATGTAAACATAATCTTCACCATGAAACGAATGAATATCCAAATTAAAGTACACGTATTATAGAATTCAAAAAGTGACACGATACTGAATAATTATAATGCATAAACTTGCAGTTTAATCCCCCAAATATTTATGAAGATGGGCGTGCCTATATTCATACTGAATGTAAACGAGGTTCATAAGAATACAGATGTGCATTTATGCATAAACATTACAAAGAGGGGCGTAAAGCAGGTTGTCCAATGACATAACATCGCATCTGTTTATTTTACACTTATCACGGGACAAACCTTTCAACAAGGGCGTAACTACATATGCATTCTACCGGAGGCTGTTATTTCAAGGTCGAAAGAGATGTTCAGTTATCTCATTACTGTAATCTGATTGAATGATTATACGCATGTGTATCGATACTGTAACTGATATACTATCCTGCTTTTACTGACGATGGATCAATAGAGACTGAGTTCATTGATACACGTGATAATTACACCGGATCAGATAATTACAGAGATCAAATACAAAAGTTTTTACACAATGCTCATGTAAATTGCATAGAAAACTGACAATTCAAATCAACATGAAATTTTCAACAGCTTGAACAAAAATGCTTGAAATACCTTTGTACGGTTTACATGTCATAACTTATGATATTATTTCTGTCTATGAGTAAGAATCTTTTGAATTACCAACTTACTGTTTTTTGTTGTATTTGTTTCATTGTTGTATTAACACTGACATGTATATATATTCGATGCGAGTTATCACTTTATATTCGATTAGGTAACATTATCAACTTTAGATTATGAAAAATAAATAGTTACAATTCAGTAAGCTTTAAATTAGTAACTTATGTCTAATCTATTCGAGCTTGGATATATAATTATTTGTGTATACGATTCATTATATGAAACATGACAACGTAAAAATACCTAGAAAGTAAATTCAAACTATTCTATTGTGTTTGAATTCTTTGTATGTCCTTGAAATTTCGTATATTGTTTCCTATTTATTAGGTAGTTGAAGAAAATATAATCTTCAGTAACCTCTAAACCATTACATCAAATTCAATCAATGTGCATAAGAAGCATTTTAGTATCCACTCCCAATGAAGAGTACCAGACACTTTCCTCTGTAAAAACATCATAATCCCCTTTCTCGCCGACATGTGTGTATTTGCCAAACGCTGTATAAGCCTATGATAATGAATAGCGGTCTACTCCCATTTGTGAGAACTCCCAGTTGTGAGACTCCAAGTTGTGAGACAGTGGAGTAGGTACTTAGCAAAGAAAACACACCTTACTCCCCTATCTGATAGAATGGATTAACCCCAGCTAATTATGGATTAGCTATTTAAATGAATCTTGTGGAGGTAACTTAATGAAACTCTAAAAGATAAAGTAATTAACCTACTCAGATAAATGGCTTTAAAAAATAAACACTTTGTGTAGGTAACTTCGTGATCATTTGAAAGAGAAATAGCAATTGCTATCAAAACACTTTAAATACTTCTTCTGATTAACACTAAAGGTAGCAACTCTCGTACGAAAAGCTAATCTTTGCTCAGTACAACTATATTGGTTGAAATAATAGGTACAGTGCAATTTTTAAAAGTACGACACACATGTGCGTCTCTCGCTGAATAAGAAGTGCTTTTCTGATGTCGCCCATGTGCGGCTCTCGCTGAATAAAAGGTGTTTTCTGTTGTTGCACATGTGCGGCTCTCTCTGTGAGAAGCTAATTAATTTGTCGCACATATGCGTCTCTCGGCCTTAAATGTAAACACACTTGACTCGTCAACAATGGATATAGTGGTTGATCAGTTGATCGAATACTATCAGGGTTGATGGGACCCAGAAACATGAATTCAACCACTATAAATATATTTACTGATGATCAACTACCAATATTATTGCCGATCGCTAACAATCATTATCATTAAATAAAATCAATAGAACGTGTGATCGGCAACAATAAATGTTATTTATGGTCGCCAACAATCAGTAGTTAGTGTCCGTCTAACAACAGAACATTATCATGTCTAATCACACACAATAAATATTTCAGACCTGATCGGCAGAGAACAGTATCGTGTCTGATAATCAGCCATTACTATTTCATATCCGTCCATCAGCAACCAACATCACGCCAACAGGAGGGCATCAAAACTAAATTGCACAAACAAAAATCGTTCAGTGATTATCTGCTTTCTCTATTAAAGGCACTCCTCGCTGAAAGGTCTCTGCGGTGAAGATTTGGTATTCCTTAAGAAGCTTTCCTACAAGGTATAACTCACAATTCGTATACATATCCCTTTGTGAAATGTCTATTACGATATAGTAGTAAATCCACACTAGAGTCCATTTGTCTACAAATGAAAACAATGAAATATCTTAAATAACTCCTACCGTTGTGCCCTCTCCGTTGAAGATGTCAACTTGTACAAATAACGACATAGTAGTTTCTTTACAACTTTGTCCAGTGATGGGTATAACAATAACTAACATCCATGTTATTGGGCACAGGATATTCTTTGCTTAGTACCGATTTGACAATTAATAACATATTCCCGATTTTATATTTTGCTATTCATCATGGTTCCAATTTGGAACGGACTACAAAACGATTCATTCCCAACTGGTCAAAGGGACAAACATTATCAATATTTTGATTGATGTTCCTGGTTGAATATATGGTTTACTATGCAGCTAAGTGACATGAAACTGAAGATGCCATGTGCCAGAATAAATTAAAGCGAAAGTTTGAACACATAATACGCTTATTTATTCAATGTACCTGAACGCTTGATATGGATATCAGAACTAGTTGTGTAGAGTAACTTAACTAACATGATCCAGGAGTCGTGATTATGTGAAACATTTAGTGATTTCCAAAAACTTAAAAAATGTTGCTTGACAGTCTATACGTTTTCGCAATGAAACAGTAGCGTCAGGTTTACTCGCCAGTGCTCGCCATTAATTTGCTGCCCCAGATAATAACAATAGCGTGATGTCATGATAATGGTTTGAGATTCATTGTTATTCCCTTGTACCCAAGGTGGTTGGTGTCACCCTTTGTCCACATTCTGGGCTTGTTTATGCTTCGCGAGCAGACATAGTTGTCAACCTGAGTATGTACAGTTATCTGATAGCATACCGTCACCCATGCAGAATGGAACTCATTATATGATGTATAAATGTTAAATAATGTATTCATTATTGTCTTCAGGCGCCGGAGTTCTTCTACACGTATGTCAAGGACGATCTCCAGCTGAACGACCTGAGAGACATAAGGAGGTTCAGCGAAGCAGTGGAACGTCTTAACTGACTACACCACCTGTGGCGTACAGGACTTGTTAGCGACGTGGTGCACGCCTAGCGTATGACTCGAACAGGTGTCATAGGAAATATACACCTGGAAAACACTGCAGTTCTGTTGTTATGTCTACATATGACAACGGCCTCGCTTTAGAGCCGTTGTGCCAGCACTGACTGGATTCTTGCGCTATAGAAATTCTTAGTTGATGAGGAGTGAGTGAGTATGGTTTTACGCCGCTTTTAGCAATATTCCAGCAACATCACGGCGGGGGACACCAGAAATAGGCTTCACACATTGTACCCATGTGGGGAATCGAACCCGGGCCTTAGCGTGACGAACGAACGCTTTAACCACTAGGCTACCCAACCGCCCCGACAACGGCCTCAGAATGTCAAAGTTCCCTAATATATCGGAAGTTTGTATAAAATCTGTGAATGTTCCTCCAAGTCATCGCGATAGATAATACGATAGGCGTAGTTAGTGCGTGTCATCCGGATTCGAACCTAAAAGCATACGTTTCTGGTGTACCCAAGGGGAGCAACTCTATTTTCAGCACCTTAAACGTCATGGCTACCCTTTTTAAACAAAAATTATTTTATTCATTTCAGCCATTATACAAATATTGCACATTTTCACAATGTTTCATGACAGTAGGGGTAGGTTCATTTTCACAATAAACATGGCAATTTAAACATGGTAGTTCTTTAGGCCATTTACTTTTATTTTTTTTGGATACTGTTGGTGCATGGCTACCCTTACTATTAATGAGAGAGTAGATCATGTCTTAAGCAAATACCAGCTCTATCACGCAGGAGATACCAGCATTGGCTTCACATATTGTACCCATGGAAATACAACACGGGCCTTTGGTGCGATAACCACGGAGCTACCCTACCGACCCTTGAGAGGATATTTATTGATTTCCTTGGAATAGTTAAACATAATAACACACACTCTGCTCTCTGTATTTCAGTATGTGTATTCATCTTGACAAACAAAAACATATACATTCCGTCAGAATATACAAACAGGGCACGAGTTACGAACATACTATTTCGTTCTGTGTAGGTATCGGTGCTTGATATATTTCCACCTGTATATTGAGCTGCGTGCTCTTGTAACCAGGGGCGGTGGGGTAGCCAAGTGGTTAAAGCGTTCTCCCACATGGTTACAATGTGTGAAGCCCATTTCTGGTGTCCCCTGTCCGTGATATTGCTGGAATATTGCTAAAAGCGGCGTAAAACTAAACTCAGTCACTCACGCACGCACTACTGTATAAACCAGCTCATGTTCATTGTGAAGTGAGCGGGCTCTTAACGCCACTTTGAAAATTCAGCTAATAAGAACGACCGAAATGGTCATATTTATAATACATACGTGTGATATAGTTGATCATCACTGCCATGTAATTAGGCTATTAAGGTAAAGCTAGGTTGCCTTGGTTACACACAGATCCCTGGTTTACCTGAACTCATCGCTTCTTGTTTTATATGGAGCGAGCTATTACAGTATTTATGCCCAACCTATTGGCATATATAATGACAGTCATATTAATTCAGTTATTCAGCATTATTTAACTGTGTTGACGATTACCATAATGTAGACATGCTTGCCATAACATGCCAAGAATGTTCAAGCATACTCATTATTAACACATGACCAAGATTATTAACATTTCACCATAATTTAGGACGCATATGTATTAACATCTGACTTATGTTTATGCATAATGTTTATTAGCATATTTTATAGGGCATTGACTCAGCAACTTGTACATTATTCAAATGTGTTGATGTGATATTCAGCTCGATAATAAGAACCAGTAGTTGTGGCACCTCAAAATACTCCGCAATTTGTTGTGAATGTTCAATCGCAGTACTTGTTTGCGTTGGCACTGTATTTGATAAATTATGGACTTCATCCGGTTCATCTGATAGTCCGATATCGATCATTTTCAAAGTACATACTTCCCGGCCCATTAAACCGAATGAAACACATTCAGGTACAGGTGGATTTAACACCAACGTGTAATTTAAGCACAATATATCAACACAAGTAGCCTTGGGTATTTGGTAACAGACCATTAATCAATAAGCGTATAGCTTTTGCACCCACATTGTAAAGTTAGCTATGGTAAATTCAAAATGGTTTCATGCCTAGGGATTATCACTGAGCAGTACCAGATACTCGTGCTGACGTCACAATTGACTGTGCTGTTCACTGCAACACATTCAACATGGGGTGGATGAGTATAACAATCCCCTTGACTGAACTGAAATGTAATCACTTTCCCGATTAATGATCAACACATCCAATGCACATACTAGGTCAAGGTGACCTGAATATGGACAGTTATTTAATTAATGTTATCTAAAAGGCAAACAGTATCACGTCTCAGTTGATTGTATCAGCAGTCTGACTTTTAAATGAACATATCTCTTCTCTTAATAGGGGCGGTGGGGTAGCCTAGTGGTTCAAGCGTTGGCTCGTCACGCCGAAGACCCGGGTTCTATTCCCCGCCGTGGTATTGCTGGAATATTGCTAAAAGCGGCGTAAAACTAAACTCAGTCAGTCAGCCTTCTCTTAATAAACTGTACTACCGCTTTGTCAGAACTTAAAGAATTTTTTGTTCAAAATACAATTTGATTTTAAAGTTATAACGAAAGTTAAAAACGAAACTTCGCATCAGATATGAAAAATGATGGATATCTTTGAAACTACATCATATCAAACATATGACCACGTGGCTGCATATTCATTTCTTACGCCAACATTCATGGAAGCAGTTTTTTTCACCAGCGGAAGATTACTTTCTTAAGCTGTTGTCGATGTTAGTGATTGTTATGAGGTCATAATCAAGTTAAACAACAGTTCTTTATATTTTTCCATTACATGAAAGACAGAATGTCTTTCTCTAGAATCCGTTCGACCCCGTGTTTTCCAAATAATTGGCGTATATTCTTGTTGACTAGCGATCTGGGTAATCAAAGTTTCAACGAAGGGTGAATACATTTCTTGAATACATGTAAGACACTGTTACAGATCCACCACAATGGTTGCTGAACATCGACGTTATAGTACGATGAAATCTTAATGCAGTATCCTCACACCATTTAACCAGGTGAACTTCAGCTCTTAGGCACATCGGCCATCTGAACGGCAAACGTAGTGATATTACATACGAAACTGTTTTAAAACACCTGATTACTAGCAGGAAGACGTGGGGGCTTATATCAGTACAGGGGCATACCAGGTGTATGTCAGGAAACTAATAAAACATGATACAATGAAACACTGTGTAAAGTTATTCTATTCTTCTTATTATTATTAGGATATTTAAAGGATATATATACAGCGCACATATCCACGCAACAAGTACATGCTCAAGGCGCTGGAGTGTTTCCTTGATCAACGGATGTCTTTTTCTGGCATTCTTTTAACCAACTCAACTTCCACAGGAACAATATTCCAGCAATACCACGGCGGGGGACACAAGAAATGGGGCTTCACACATAGTTCCCATGCAGAGAATCGAACCCCGGTCTACGATGTCACGAGTGAACACTTTAACCACCAGGTTACCCGACAGCGCGTTTAGGGTGAGAATTCATATTGTCAGCACATTAATTAATATCGTCCCTAAGTTCCCCAAATCTGTTGGACGATAAATACACTCTTCTGGTAAGACATATTAACAAAACATTAAACAGCTGGTGGTAAGAACCTTAACACTTAATAAGATAAGCAAAACGGCGCGCATGCAATACCAGCCGTAGAACTCATAGCGAGCATATTGAGCGAGTGAGTTTATTTTTACGCCGCTTTTAGCAATATTCCAGCAATATCACGACAGGGGACACCAGAAATGGGCTTCACACATTGTACCCATGTGGGGAATCGAACCCAGATCTTCAGCGTGACGAGCGAACGCTTGAACCACTTGGCTACCCCACCTCCCCGAGAGCATATTGAATACTCATTGAAGTACAAAAATGTCAGTCAGATTTAACACAAATAAACACACACATTCACATATACAAACACTATGAATAGCTTAAGTCTGATCTTTACTCGAGTTCGTGTGCTCTCACCCCTGACGGTTCTCTGTCAGAGCTTTGTGTACTCGTTGCCATGGTGAGAATGACTAATAACAACACTTATTTCGGATCTTGATACCGGTGTGTTGGCGGGAAAATGTCGGCCATGTTTGACCTGCATACTCTCTCATACCACATGGAATATGTAAGCGAGGACCCATAAACTATTAGGTCAGTAGAGAGAGAACCCGTTACCGTTTTGTAGCTGTGATTTGGTGTATAAATGTCGAGATGACATGCTGAGATATTGTGATGCAATGTTTATAGCAGCGGGTGGTAAACAATTTTCGTTTGAGAAATGTCATTTGATCGATTGTGGCATATTGAATAACACAACTATGGTAGTTATCCGCAGTTTAACACACATCTTGAATAACGGCAAATCAAGAAGAAATGTTCCAATGTAGAAATCGATGTGTATTGAATATTGATTAGGTGCATGCATTGCATGCGTTCTTGTGTCATTATCCAGAACTGAAATGTGTGGACATTAATGCAGTTATGCAAGTCTCCGGTTTTATCTGAGGATTATGAAACCGATATTACCGAGAGGTATTTAACGATCAGTGAAACAAATCTAGCATATTACATGAGAGACATTGATTGAAGCGCTCGTATAATATTCTCGATACGTGATAGGCGTCCCTGTGGTCGACATCCCATTCAACAAATCAATAATGCTCACTTTGCTTTGAACAATGTTCCATCGATACTAAGTGTTCTTATCCTCAAATGAGGCATCGAACTCGTGCCTACAGTGCAAAGGTGGTCATGACCTGGCTACCACCGCCCAGTATTACCGAATAAGGGAGGGATGGGGCCTTTGGCTACGTTGCGAATAGCGAACGCTGTAACGCTGTAGTTAAAACCACTCGTTACTAGTATACTATAGTTACTAGGAACTAGTTACTAGTATAACCAAAATCAGGACGTTCAATTCGCCCTACAGATTCCTTATTGTTTCAGATAATCAGATGGGCAGTACAAGCAGCATGCAGAGGCCTCCTCCTCGCAAAACTGCTGATGCAGCAAATTCTAGCCCAGGCGATACTCGTAATCAACCGGTGAATAACCTATCTAAAACACAGTCTGATCGAGGAGGAACTGATATCACTCAGAAACCAGCAGTAAACTCTGTACCTTCTGGCGTGGATACGGAGGCTGAAATGAAGAAACTGCGGGAAGATGCTTCACATTTAAATTCGGAATTTGACGAAATTGACACTCTTATTCAAGAACTTAAAGCTGATGCTTTCACGAAGACTGGGAAATATTCAAGGATCTACAACTGGAGATCTCTGGGCTTCGAGGACTACGCTGATACGGACCGTCGTAAGCTCGGTGAATACTTAGCGGTATCTGACGCTGCTGAAGTGCTGAATGCAGCATTTGACACACTGCTGAAATCACTTGGGTTTACATGTATGTGGCCTATAAAGATGGACTTTGAAGACAAGACGCAGGTTCTTGTTGCTCAAAAGTTATCCATGATACGAATGATTGTGTGGAACAATACGGATGGTAGTCTCAGTTTTGCTGAAAAGGTGAGCAAAGCTGGGATGCTTAAATATTTCGTGGAAGATTTAAAACAGATGGATGTGGAAGATGCCGCCGCCGCTGATGACGATGATGAAGATGATGACGAGGTCAGTGAGATATTTACACACACTCAATGAATGGGAAAGCGTTCATTTCAAAGAAGCATGCATATATATATGCCCCTCATTTTCCATAAATATTGTTGTTCTTACGTAGGCTATCAATTTCGTGTCAATGCAATATTACGCCGCTTTTAGTAATATTCCAGAAATATCACGGCGGGTTTCACACATTGTACCCATTGTACCACTAGGCTACCCAGCCGCCCCCTTTTCAACAGGGCATGCATACTTATAGCAAAAAATCCCGCCGTAATTGTCATGATATATAAATTCCGCAGCCCAAATAGACATTTTGAAGTCCAGTTATAATCCCACGTTGCAAGTAGAATGTTCTCTCACACACTAAAGTCTCTCAAACATTCATTTAGTCCATTCAGGAGATAATTGTAAATGCACGTAATCATACGAGCCATGGCCTTCCAAAAATTGTACACTGAGCTGATGTTGTGTATAATATTCGACGGGAATACACGTTTTACGAAGACTTGTCTATAAATAATCGAGTCTTGACCAGACAAAAACAGTGAATGTTATTTGTAGGAACGTCCCTTGTCATGCTTGGGATGACTTAATACTCAATCAGTTTAAAACTGAACAGATGGAAGATGAACACAACGTCAGTTAGACGTAACCGTGAACATTTTGTCAATGTATGTTGCAGGAGCTTGACAACACATTTGAAGCGGCCATTTCCATCCTCCAGAACTGCTCAAGGAACCCTGCGACCAGACAACATCTTCGGGAACTCGGGACAGTTTCCGTCCTGCTGCCGTATCTCAAGTGCAGGTCAGATGGTAAATATTACACATCTGTTTGCGAACACGTTCTTGAAGAAATAGCTTTTGAGAATTCCAGTGGACATCGGATACCACTCATTGTGAACGATGAACAATATTGTCAATATTGTTCCTCTCTTTTACTCCTCCCTCGTAACAAATCAGTGAACTCAGCAATGTGTTTGCCGTATTTTAGAATGATAGTTTGCTAAACATGGTTCTATGTTTATTGTTAGGACATAGATTTTCATTACAAAAATGATAGAGTTGGTTTGATACATTTTATTATGATCAGCGTTTCGTTGAGAATATATGTTTGCTTAGAGAAGCGAGTTAGATGATAATTCATAGAGTCCCTATTGACTAACACCAAAACGGACTCTATAATCTTACTCGTCTACACAGCACCTGATAATTGCTTCCGGTCAGGGTTTAAATCGTGATTAAAGAATGGATCTGAACTGGATGGTCAGCTCACAGGAACGTAATCATGTTGGCCAAACATGGATCGACTGCCTTTCTCTTTGCTTAACAATCAATTATTTACATTACATAAAAATGAATGAGCATTCACATGGGTAGATTCATACAAAAGTATGTGTTCAATGTTAATAATGAGAATACCTCAAGAAGCGAGATTGTGATAATTATAGAGAAATCCTATTCGACTAACACCAACAACAGATACTGATTTACACTCGTCTATAGGATTGTTCATCTTTCAATTGCTTATTAACTGTTGTACATGTCCAACGTCTTTTGTATAATAGATAAGTTATATTCCAGTTAACACAATGTGATGTTCATGGTGACACTAATTATGTTGATAGTATTAATAACGATGCGGACCCTTGAGAGTCATGACTTACGTCGATTGTTCCAGAGGGTAAGCTGCAGACTCTGTTTACTCTTGCCAACATCGTGGACGAAACCGAAAGTGAACATCTTCTGGCTGACAAAACCGTGATTGATCAATTGTTCGATATACTGAAGGAAGCATGGGCGATTGAGGAACACCGCTATATTGGTTTCAGTGTGGAGGAGATAGTGGATGGGATGACTGGTCTAGCCAAAAATGACACCAACAAGAAGGTCCTGTGGGAAAAGGGAGCCGTTCCTATACTTACAGAGATTATGAAATTTGGATCGGACGAAGAGAAAGAGTATGCCGTGAAATGTATATGGGAACTGTCTTTTGATAAAACTAACAAGGAAATATTCAATGTAAGTTCCTTGGAAGTGGATTGTTTGGTTTTTGAGATTCGAGTAAATGCTTCATTTGCCACTTTCATTTCTCATGGTTCAGAACTAAATATATTATATTTTTTAAGTGGATTACATAATCATTGATATGCGTTGTTTCTTCTGGCCATAAAATATTTTTAATATTTATTACTACACGTCCGTCATTAGTATAAAAGAAGGAAGGATTCCCCACTGCGGAAAATTGTCAGCCGTATGTTTGGCCAGGTATTGTACTGACAAGACACTTGCGTGACATGCCCTCTATACTTCGTAGTCTGTGTAAATGGAAGAACTACAAATAGAATCCTGTCAGAGGTGAAACCGATGTATAATGGCAACCACATCATCGTAGAGACACATATATATATAGTGTGATATACTTAGTTTAGTCCCATTCTTTCAGGAAAATAAAGAGTTGCAACAGCTACTTCAGGAACTCAAGTCATCCTCTTCTACAGGCGTTTCTAAAGCTGCAGCTGGAGCATTGTGGGTGCTAGCTATGGAGGAAAACAATAATACAAGTACGTAACAACGAACCATATTACCATTAGCCTTAGTAACGTAAACGTTAGACAAAGTAACGGAACACTTATCATGATAATTATGCTGTGAACCTGATTGTCCGATTTTGTATATAATCTCCTGCGTCAAGTAGGGGTTGCTGAAGACCAACTGTAACCCAATTCTTAGCGGGGCTTTTATTAGTTTTGGGAAAAGCTCTAAATTTGCCAATTACTGTTTTTTCATCTCACTGAATATGTTATTTTCTGTCTATTTATGTTATGTCATAATTTTTGTTAGATTTTATTCATGCATATAATTTTAATGTTGACAACTAAGTTTACGTTTTACTTAATTGGTTGTCTTATAGTTGTCTTTATTTATTTGTTACGTATATCTGTCCTTTTAAATATCATGGTATCGAATACCAAGTGCTGTACTTTTTAAATAGCATACTTTAGGTCGAAATCCTACAATTATAGAGTATCGTAAACAGTATCACCTATGTGTTTTGATATGTGGTATGAACAGTGAAGTAAAATTTGAGGGTGAAACATAAACATTTTTTCAGCATTAACAGGGGGTCTCGAAGGGAGGAGTGGGTCATATGGAGGTCATGTGATGATCAGTTACCAGTGGACAGACCAGAAGCTGGTGCTGAAGGTATTTTATAATTTGTTTTCTGAATTGATCAAACATATCATTAAAAGGTTATATGTTGTTCAGTGACCAGTCGATTGACCACAAGGAGGTGTGTCTTTCCATTGGTTTTCGGAATTGATAACAAAATATTATTCAGTATAATGTCATTGATATTGCAATTATTTTTCAAAAATAGATCAAGGAATCACTGCGCCAGAAAGGGTACAAGATCTGGATGGATGTTGATCACATGGAGGGGTCCACGCTGCAGGCGATGGCGGAGGCCGTTCAGAACGCTTCTGTTGTGTTGGTGTGTATGTCGGAGAGGTACAAGCTGAGTCAGAACTGCAGGTCAGGTGAGTCAACAATTTCAGGAATCCATTGTTTGGTCTAGATAAGTTTGAATGTTGCAATTTTGACTACATGTAATGGTGAGTAAAATTAATCTTTATCATGTTTTATATCAGAGGCTGAGTATGCTTTCTCGTTGGAGAAGAAGATTGTCCCTCTTCTGATGCAGAGGGCATATAAACCAGACGGATGGTTGGGTATGATTAAAGGGACAAAACTCTTCTTCGACTTCAGCGGAAAATACCCGTATGATCAGAAATTAACTGATCTTGTGAAGGAGCTTGGTGAACATGGGAAGACTCAGCAGCTCACTGATGAAATTGATGTAGGTTATGACGTAATGGTGACTATTGCATAAATATAATGGTGTATTGATAGGTAAACATTATAGAAAGCACAAAATGTACACGTGAGAAGTCAGCGAGGACTATCCTTCAAGCAGGTGCTGCACTTAGGTCATAGATTTCATAGGTCAAGTATCAAGTCGGTTATTGGAATGCATATTCTTACACTGAATGTTCTTCTTAGTGCTAAAGGTAAATGTGATGATACTCTGTGTCTGATTGACAAAACGTTGATTCTTTCATGACACTTGTTATTAATTACGAATAGTCTATGTGTGATATTGTATAACACAGACAGTTGTTGTTTTTATCTTCAGGGTGAGACTAAGATAGTTCCCGTTGTGAAAGCAGCTCCCCTTGCCGCTGCAAGAGGTCGGTCACTTGCTGACTGGTCAGTGAAGGATGTCCAGAATTGGCTCACGAAGACAGGATTAACAAAGTACATATATCCTTGGTATTTACTTGTCTGAAGAATACCATAGTATGTGCCGTACCTACGGCGTCCTCACGCACTCTTATTCAGTATATTCATTGTTTGGGATTGTAAATGTAGGTTAAATATATGTTCTTGGAGTACGTCAACCCAAAAAATATAATAGGAGAGGGTAATCACTCAATTAAGTTGAATGAATCAAACCAGAACTGATTTTCATTTGTTTCAGTGACTCGTTGCTACGTAAAATGACTGGGGATGATCTATTGTTTCTGCGTGAAGTATCTCACAGGGTAAGCATGAAGGCTTGTTGCAATCCATTACTAAATATATGGGATGTCGAAACGCCGTATTTCCAATTTAGCTCGAATTGAGTTCGCTCCAAAGTTTGGTTCCAGGCACCATGATATGAGTCCTTACTCATGTAAATCAGAGTTAAAATTGATCTTTAGCAATCCATGCTTGTCGAAGGATTGTCTGGTCCAAACTCGATTATTTACACACCGCCGTCATATGGCTGGAATATTGCCGAGAGCGCCGTTTAACAACAAACAAACAAACAAACAAACAAACTCTTCTGCCATATACTTCTACAAAAACACGAACAACAGAACAATATCAAATGAACATTATTTTTTCCCATAATTACATTGTATGATTAGGAGGTGTTAATATGATAACGTTTCAGATGCTGGTGACTGATGTAAGATAATTAATGCTTTGAATGTCTCGTTCCACAAGAGAAGTTGCATGTTGTTCCAAATGCATGTTGTGTCTGGTACCAGCACTGAGATTATATGACAAACTTTATCATTTGATTCCGAAATTCCCATTCACCTCAGGGAATTCGCTTCAATACTGGATTGTGATCGGAAAATAACCTATAACTTTTATCCGTTCAGGCACCCGAGTTTTACTTCAACTATCTGCTGACTAATCTTCAGCTGCCCTTTGATGACCTCAAGAAGTTCAGCAGAGCTGTTGACAAGCTGTGAATCATTATCCCAACTGTGTGAAGTTTTGGATCTAATGTATATTACATTACAAACTCTCAGATGTATCACTGGACGAATACGTGGCATAGGTTGACTTGCAGATAGTAATACATGCCTGTGTAATTGACATTGTGTCTGCTGCATATGACAACCTTCAAAGTCAGTTTAATCATGTTTGATGTAGTACAAACATATGTACCTCTAACCCCCTAACCCCACACCCACCCGACCCCACCCCCCTAACCTCCCCACCCATATACCCCCTGCAGGTTGACGGTTTGACAGCCAACTTATCCATTACATAACAGCCTTTCCTATGCATATTTGTGTGATGATATCTCTAGAGATCTGTCTTATGCTTATTGAAATGCCTTTGTTCTTAATAATATTCGTTCAGATGTTGACATCAGTAGCGTGTGAATCTACGATCATGCACACTCACTACAGACCGAATGAATTATGAACATATTTCTGCATGAATTCTGCACGGATAAGTTTTTGGATTGAATTGGTAAATGTACCAGATGCTATAATGCTATATGTATGCACTCTGGTAATGTAAGATACAAACAATATGTATATGGACTTTTCTTTGGTTTTGTTTGTGAAACATACATATGACAGAATGAATACAGATGCACTATCTATGTTTATATGCGATAAGCTGAAATCTGTGATACATCTATATTTGAATGTATATATAATGTTTCACACAAATGCATATCTGTGATAGATAAAATTGATATTTTGTAGTTCTACTTTTGATGTTCATGTTGAATCCAATATGAATTACATGCGTCGTTTTAATTTAAAAATACAACACTCGTGTCTAGTCTATATCCATGTCAATATGTGAGAGATACTACAATGTCCATACTATAATGTATGATATGTTTATATGTAATATATTTCTCCTAAGATGAGGCAGCCCTAAGTTATAATCGGAGTTTGCAATATCATTGTTTCTGCAATGTAACCAGGTACAATCATCAGAAAGAATCACTCAGAAAGGTGAATAATTATGTGTAATTAATTATTTGACATTTCCATGTATATAGCAAGTTCTTTAATTTAAATAAATCTAACCTATATTTTTATAACCACTGTTATGTTATTCTGTGTGCCAAATTCGTTTACGTAATTACACACAAGACGTGAAGGAAAAACACCAAATCGGTTTGGGAAACGCTACTATACACTTGAACGAATTTGTGGAGGCTGTGTTAAACGCTCAATTACGTTGTTGAACCGTTCATGTGACCAATGTCTCTATGTGTTCGAGCGTAATTGTCAAATAATGTAATCATTTCATATGGTCTTGTTCGTAAAATGTTTACTTGATCCATTGAAAATATTTCATTTGTAACCGGCGGTTACAAATGAAATATTTTCAATGGATCAAGTAAACAACTTTACGAACAAGACCATATGAAATGATTACATTATTTGACAATTACGCTCGAACACATAGAGACATTGGTCACATGAACGGTTCAACAACGTAATTAAGCGTTAGACACAGCCTCCACACATTCGTTCAAGTGTAAGTAGCGTTTCCCAAACCGATTTGGTGTTTTTCCTTCACGTCTTGTTCTTGTGTGTAATTCGTAAACGAATTTGGCACACAGAATAACATAACAGTGGTTATAAAAATATAGGTTAGATTTATTTAAATTAAAGAACTTGCTATATACATGGAAATGTCAAATAATTACACAATAATTAGGTAGTTTTCTGAATGATTCTTTCTGATGATTGTATCTAGTTACATTGCTGAAACAATGATATTGCAACCTCCGATTATAACTTAGGGCTGCCTCATCTTAGGAGAAATATATTACATATAAACATATCATACATTATAGTATGGACATTGTAGTATCTCTCACATATTGACATGGATATAGACGAGACACGAGTGTTGTATTTTTAAATTAAAAACCGTGCATGTAATTCATATTGGATTCAACATGAACATCAAAAGTAGAACTGCAAAATATCAATTTTATCTGTCACAGATATGCATTTGTGTGAAACAATATATATACATTCAAATATAGATGTATAACAGATTTCAGCTTATCGCATATAAACATAGATAGTGCATCTGTATTCATTCTGTCATATGTATGTTTCACAAAGAAAACCAAAGAAAAGTCCATATACATATTGTTTGTATCACACATTACAAGAGTGCATACATATAGCATTATAGCATCTGGTACATTTAGAAATTCAATCCAGAACAATCCGTGCAGAATTCATGCAGAAATGTGTTCATAATTCATTCGGTCTGTAGTGAGTGTGCATGATCGTAGATTCACACGCTACTGATGTCAACATCTGAACGAATATTATTAAGAACAAATCCATTTCAATAAGCTTAAGACAGATCTCTAGAGATATCATCACAAATATGCATAGGAAAGGCTGTTATGTAATGGATAAGTTGGCTGTCAAACCGTCAACCTGCATGGTGGGGGTGGGGATTGGGTGGGGTTAGTAGTTGTGGGGTGGGCGGGGTTAGGGTACATATGTCTGTACTATATTACACATGATTAGACTGACTTCGAACGGTGCTATATGTAGCAGACACAATGTCAATTACACAGGCATGTATTACTATCTGCAAGTCAACCTATGCCACGTATTCGTCCAGTGATACATCTGAGAGTTTGTAATGTTATACACATTAATTAATCCCAAAACTTCACACAGTTGGGATAATGATTCACAGTTTGTCAACAGCTCTGCTGAACCTCTTGAGGTCATCAAAGGGCAGCTGAAGATTAGTCAGCAGATAGTTGAAGTAAAACTCGGGTGCCTGAACGGATAAAAGTTACAGGTTATTTTCCGATCACAATCCAGTATTGAAGCGAATTCCCTGAGGTGAATGGGAATTTCGGAATCAAATGATAAAGTTTGTCATATAATCTCAGTGCTGGTACCAGACACAACATGCATTTGGAACAACAGGCAACTTCTCTTGTGGAACAAGACATTCAAAGCATTAATTATCTTACATCAGTCACCAGCATCTGAAACGTTATCATATTAACACCTCCTAATCATACAATGTAATTATGGGAAAAAAATGTTCATTTGATATTGTTCTGTTGTTCGTGTTTTTGTAGAAGTATATGGCAGAAGAGTTTGTTTGTTTGGTTTGTTTGTTTGTTGTTAAACGGCGCTCTCGGCAATATTCCAGCCATATGACGGCGGTGTGTAAATAATCGAGTTTGGACCAGACAATCCTTCGACAAGCATGGATTGCTAAGATCAATTTAAACTCTGATTTACATGAGTAAGGACTCATATCATGGTGCCTGGAACCAAACTTTGGAGCGAACTCATTTCGAGCTAACTTGGAAATACGACGTTTCGACATCCCATATATTTAGTAATGGATTGCAACAAGCCTTCATGCTTACCCTGTGAGATACTTCACGCAGAAACAATAGATCATCCCCAGTCATTTTACGTAGCAACGAGTCACTGAAACAAATGAAAATCAGTTCTGGTTTGATTCATTCAACTTAATTGGGTGATTACCCTCTCCTATTATATTTTTTTGTTGACGTACTCCAAGAACATATATTTAACCTACATTTACAATCCCAAACAATGAATGTACTGAATAAGAGTGCGTGACCACGCCGTAGGAACGGCACATACTATGGTATTCTTCAGACAAGTAAATACCAAGGATATATGTACTTTGTTAATCCTGTCTTCGTGAGCCAATTCTGGACTTCCTTCACTGACCAGTCAGCAAGTGACCGACCTCTTGCAGCGGCAAGGGGAGCTGCTTTCACAACGGGAACTATCTTAGTCTCACCCTGGAGATAAAAACAACAACTGTCTATGTTATACAATATCACACATAGACTATTCGTAATTAATAACAAGTGTCATGAAAGAATCAACGTTTTGTCAATCAGACACAGAGTATCATCACATTTACCTTTAGCACTAAGAAGAACATTCAGTGTAAGAATATGCATTCCAATAACCGACTTGATACTTGACCTATGAAATCTATGACCTAAGTGCAGCACCTGCTTGAAGGATAGTCCTCGCTGACTTCTCACGTGTACATTTTGTGCTTTCTATAATGCTTACCTATCAATACACCATTATATTTATGTAATAGTCATCATTACGTCATAACCTACATCAATTTCATCAGTGAGCGGCTGAGTCTTCCCATGTTCACCAAGCTCCTTCACAAGATCAGTTAATTTCTGATCATACGGGTACTTCCCGCTGAAGTCGAAGAAGAGTTTTGTCCCTTTAATCATACCCAACCATCCGTCTGGTTTATATGCCCTCTGCATCAGAAGAGGGACAATCTTCTTCTCCAACGAGAAAGCATACTCAGCCTCTGATATAAACAAGATAAAGATTAATTTTACTCACCATTACATATAGTCAAAATTGCAACATTCAAACTCATCTAGACCAAACAATGGATTCCTGAAATTGTTGACTCACCTGACCTGCAGTTCTGACTCAGCTTGTACCTCTCCGACATACACACCAACACAACAGAAGCGTTCTGAACGGCCTCCGCCATCGCCTGCAGCATGGACCCCTCCATGTCATCAACATCCATCCAGATCTTGTACCCTTTCTGGCGCAGTGATTCCTTGATCTATTTTCGAAAAATAATTGCAATATCAATGACATTATACTGAATAATATTTTGTTATCAATTCCGAAAACCAATGGAAAGACACACCTCCTTGTGGTCAATCGACTGATCACTGAACAACATATAACCTTTCAATGATATGTTTGATCAATTCAGAAAACAAATTATAAAATACCTTCAGCACCAGCTTCTGGTCTGTCCACTGGTAACTGATCATCACATGACCTCCATATGACCCACTCCTCCCTTCGAGACCCCCTGTTAATGCTGAAAAAATGTTTATGTTTCACCCTCAAATTTTACTTCACTGTTCATACCACATATCAAAACACATAGGTGATACTGTTTACGATACTCTATAATTGTAGGATTTCGACCTAAAGTATGCTATTTAAAAAGTACAGCACTTGGTATTCGATACCATGATATTTAAAAGGACAGATATACGTAACAAATAAATAAAGACAACTATAAGACAACCAATTAAGTAAAACGTAACTTAGTTGTCAACATTAAAATTATATGCATGAATAAAATCTAACAAAAATTATGACATAACATAAATAGACAGAAAAAAACATATTCAGTGAGATGAAAAAACAGTAATTGGCAAGTTTTTCATCAAAACTAATAGAAGCCCCGCTAAGAATTGGGTTACAGTTGGTCTTCAGCAACCCCTACTTGACGCAGGAGATTATATACAAAATCGGACAATCAGGTTCACAGCATAATTATCATGATAAGTGTTCCGTTACTTTGTCTAACGTTTACGTTACTAAGGCTAATGGCAATATGGTTCGTTGTTACGTACTTGTATTATTGTTTTCCTTCATAGCTAGAACCCACAATGCTCCAGCTGCAGCTTTAGAAATGCCTGTAGAAGAGGATGACTTGAGTTCCTGAAGTAGCTGTTGCACCTCTTTATTTTCCTGAAAGAATGGGACTAAACTAAGTATATCACACTATATATATATGTCTGTACGATGATGTGGTTGCCATTATACATCAGTTTCACCTCTGACAGGATTCTATGTGTAGTTCTTCCACTTACACAGACTACGAAGTATAGAGGGCATGTCACGCAAGCGTCCTGTCAGTACAATACCTAGCCAAACATACGGCTGACAATTTTCCGCAGTGGGGAATCCTTCCTTCTTTTATACTAATGACGGACGTGTAGTAATAAATATTAAAAATATTTTATGGCCAGAAGAAACAACGCATATCAATGATTATGTAATCCACTTAAAAATTATAAATATATTTAGTTCTGAACAATGAGAAATGAAAGTGGCAAATGAAGCATTTACTCGAATCTCAAAAACCAAACAATCCACTTCCAAGGAACTTACATTGAATATTTCCTTGTTAGTTTTATCAAAAGACAGTTCCCATATACATTTCACGGCATACTCTTTCTCTTCGTCCGATCCAAATTTCATAATCTCTGTAAGTATAGGAACGGCTCCCTTTTCCCACAGGACCTTCTTGTTGGTGTCATTTTTGGCTAGACCGGTCATCCCATCCACTATCTCATCCACACTGAAACCAATATAGCGGTGTTCCTCAATCGCCCATGCTTCCTTCAGTATATCGAACAATTGATCAATCACGGTTTTGTCAGCCAGAAGATGTTCACTTTCGGTTTCGTCCACGATGTTGGCAAGAGTAAACAGAGTCTGCAGCTTACCCTCTGGAACAATCGACATAAGTCATGACTCTCAAGGGTCCGCATCGTTATTAATACTATCAACATAATTAGTGTCAACATGAACATCACATTGTGTTAACTGGAATATAACTTATCTATTATACAAAAGACGTTAGACATGTACAACAGTTAATAAACAATTGAAAGATGAACAATCCTATAGACGAGTGTAAAGAGTTTCATCAGTATCTGTTGTTGGTTTTAGTCGAATAGGATTTCTCTATAATTATCACAATCTCGCTTCTTGAGCAATAAAGGTATTCTCATTATTAACATTGAACACATTTTACTCCAAATTCAGATTCGACTCCAATACTTTTGTATGAATCTACCCATGAGAATACTCATTCATTTTTATATAATGTAAATAATTGATCGTTAAGCAAAGAGAAAGGCAGTCGATCCATGTTTGGCCAACATGATCACGTTCCTGTGAGCTGACCATCCAGTTCAGATCCATTCTTTAATCACGATTTAAACCCTGACCGGAAGCAATTATCAGGTGCTGTGTAGGTAATATTATAGTCCGTTTGGCTCAAAAGCGGACTGATGAATTGCAATCTAACTCAAAAACTAATAAACATATAATACTCAACGAAACGTTGATCATAATAAAATTATCAAACCAACTCTATGATTTTTGTGCAACATCTATGTCCTAACAATAAACATGATGTTTAGCAAACTATCATTAAAATATTTACACAGTTCACTATTTGTTACGAGGGAGGAGTAAAAAGAGAGGAACAATATTCACAATATTGTTCATCGTTCACAATGAGTGGTATCCGATGTCCACTGGAATTCGCAAAAGCTATTTCTTCAAGAACATGTTCGCAAACAGATGTGTAATATTTACCATCTGACCTGCACTTGAGATACGGCAGCAGGACGGAAACTGTCCCGAGTTCCCGAAGATGTTGTCTTGTCGCAGGGTTCCTTGAGCAGTTCTGGAGGATGGAAATTGCCGCTTCAAATGTGTTGTCAAGCTCCTGCAACATACATTGCCAAAATGTTCACGGTTACGTCTAACTGACATTGTGTTCATCTTCCATCTGTTCAGTTCTAATCAGTATTAAGTCATAATTTCCGGTTTGTTTCTGTCAACCCATGCTTGTGTTACGAAGCGACGTGCTGGACCTTGTGGTCAGGAGTGGTGTCGTTGTTGACTCCTGCCTTTGTTCCCCGACGGTAAGGGGCGTTCCTTCAAATAACATTCACTGTTTTGTCTGGTCGAGACTCGATTATTTATAGTCAAGTCAATCTTCATAAAATTCTCTGGGAATATTTTAAATAACATCAGTTTAGTATTTCAATTAAAAATGTTCAAGCACAAGGCTCGTGCTCAATATGAATTTGTCATTTGATTGTGTACATGTTCCTTTATATCCTGAATGGTCGTTTTAAAGTTTAATGTGTGGGTGTATTCCTGGAACGGATCCAGGATTTTGGAGAAGGTGTACGTGTGTGTGTGTGTGTGTGTGTGCGTGCGTGCGTGCGTGCGTGCGTGCGTGCGTGTGTATGTGTGAAGGGGAGGAAGGTGTATTTATGTGAGATATCTATTGATGTAGATATGTGGATAATTACATAGATCAAGATAGGTAGGTAGGTAGGTAGGTAGATAGATAGGTATTATAATTCTTTGAAATTCACAATCATTACATGTGCGTAAATATCTCACTTACCTCGTCATCATCGGCGGCATCTTCCACATCCATCTGTTTTAAATCTTCCACGAAATATTTGAGCATCCCAGCTTTGCTCACCTTTTCAGCAAAACTGAGACTACCATCCGTATTGCTCCACACAATCATTCGTATCATGGATAACTTTTGAGCAACAAGAACCTGCCCCTTGTCCTCAAAGTTCATCTTAATAAGCGACATACATGTAAACCCAAGTGATTTCAGCAGAGTGTCAAATGCTGCATTCAGCACTTCAGCAGCGTCAGATACCACTAAGTATTCACCGAGCTTACGACGGTCCGTATCAGCGTAGTCCACGAAGCCCATAGATCTGCAGTTGTAGATCTTTGAATAGTTCCCAGTCTTAGTGAAAGCATCAGCTTTAAGTTCTTGAATAAGAGTGTCGATTTCGTCAAATTCCGAATTTAAATGTGAAGCATCTTCCCGCAGTTTCTTCATTTCAGCCTCCGTATCCACGCCAGACTTAGGTACAGAGTTTACTGCTGGTTTCTGAGTGATATCAGTTCCTCCTCGATCAGACTGTGTTTTAGATAGGTTATTCACCGGTTGATTACGAGTATCGCCTGGGCTAGAATTTGCTGCATCAGCAGTTTGACGAGGAGGATGCCTCTGCATGCCGCTTGTACTGCCCATCTGATTATCTGAAACAATAAGGAATCTGTAGTGCGAATTGAACGTCCTATATTTGGTTAAACATGTAACGAATGGTGGTAGCTTAGGCAAAGGTTCTATTCCTTCCTTATTTGGTTATACTGGGTGGTGGTAGCCAAGTTGTTATAGACAAGGGCTCAGCAAATGTGGATATATGTTTCTTGGAATCTTCGAACATCAGTTGTCTTCTGGTTGATGCTGAGAGAAAAAAAAGAGGGTCAGTGAATATGATGTCATGCGAATATATTCAAACAAATCCAAGGCTGGGAACACAAGTAAAACTTCAGAATCGTGGCCTTCAGGGTAACGAGAGACTACTGTAACCACACGGTCACCCCACCAGAGAAAAGAAACTAGACCACGAAATCAGAGTGAGGCCCATGTTGTACAAACTATAAGGGGTTTAAGGCGTTGTAAATTTCACTGTGCAGAGTTGGACATGCCAGAAATCTTTGCTCTTTGGTAGTAAGATCATGCTGGGTCCGACCCGTGAAGGTCCGGGTTAGAATATTGATCTTTAGTTACCCATGCTTGTTGAAAGAGGCGACTAACGGGATCGGGTGGTCACGCTCGCTGACTTGGTTCACACATGTCATCGGTTCCGAGTTGCGCAGATTGATGCTCATGTTGTTGATCACTGGATTGTCTGGTCCAGACTCGATTATTTACACCCCGCCGCCATATGGCTGGGATATTGCTGAGTGCGACGTGAAACTAAACTCACTCACTCACTCACTCTTGCTGGGTCCGCACCCTACCAGTGTGGTTCAGCACGTTATGTCAGTTCACTTATACGTGAACATTCACAGTGTAAAAGCCAATCTGTAGAAAAGTCGAAACTTCCGTTTGTACAATCCGCTTGTTTTAGATGCAAAATATGTGTACTCGAATTGGTAATTCTAGTTGTCAAATACATGTATACGACTCACCAATTATGTTTTCAAGGGTACCTCCATCTACAATTGGAAACAATGGCCAGGGATTAGTGTCAATTTTGCGTAAACATCGTTTTCTAAAAATATGTAATTTAAACTAAATATATCGCGGGTAAAGTTAAAGACATGAGCAAAAGTCAAAGTGGCATAGTCAAATATATTTATAAAATGAAATAAACGTTTTAAAACTGATAGAAAACAATTTTACAAGAAACTAAATTCAACCAGTTTCACTAATGAGAATAAAAATCCCATCATGGATTCCAGTGAATGGTTTTGGAAGCACTTGTGATCAATTACATATCAGAAATCTTTCAACACTGAAGATTTACGTCGCAGTAGATATTGATCTTTTGGCGGTGAGTATATATACGGCAGCTCCAACCTCGATGAGCCAAGAGTAGATGATAATGTTCACCCAAAAAGGTCGCTTTGTGTGTGTTTCTTTGCACAAGACTACGGCACTCAGGCCTTGCGGTATTCAAAACTTTTATTCAAAACTGTTCCCTTGTATATTCACATTAACTTATGACTATCTTAGCGCTAAGACAGCTTTAGAAATGTAGGCCCAGGACTTCAGCCCAGACCCCCTACACCGCTTACATGGATGACCAGTCACTGATTGCCAAGGGAAATTCCGCAATACAAATAATCACTCGACAAATGCAGCATTCTTCAACTGTAACCTGGACCATTTCCCTATGAAGGTCACTTTCTGATTCCGGGCGGCGAATACGCATTTTTTTAAACAAAATCGCTCGACAAATTTGGAATGCGGAATATTTCAAAATGTCCCGCAAGGATTTACTGCGTCACAAACATGTGCACTATAAACTGGGTACAATGTGTCTTGTAAAACCGAGGCGACGCCCGATA